TCAGAAGATAACAATAGCTCCCAGATCGCCAGACCTTTAGCAAGGCGTGACTCAGCGGTAACGCAGCGGGCGTCTGGTGAGTAGCTACATCCAGATGGTGCCCCTCACCGTTCGCTGGCGCCGGAGCTAACCGGAAGCTGCGCGAGCGTTCCGGGCAAGAAGCTCAGCCCTGAAGCCGACGACCCGACAGCTAGCACGTGCGTCAGCCGCCACGGGCGGTACAGGCGTCCAATCAGCCGGCCGCTCGGCCCCTCAGGCGAGCTCGCAGCCAAAGCTCGCTTCTGCGAATCTCAATTCTCGCTAAGTGTGCGGACCAGGTGAACGCCAGTTAGGCCTGGCCGAGTTCATCGCCATTTACAGAAGCCATCGGGTTGTGTTTCCTGCTGAATTCTGGATAACGTTTCGGCGCTGGGCCGCGTTTCCTGAATACCAATACCATTATGGGGTGGGACGCCCGTCGACGGACAGCCCCCGGCTCGGCCAGCTGGCTGCCAGGCCGGGCTGCCAGATTGGCCATCTCCTGGCCAAATTCCTTCTGACTCCTCGAATCTGAAATGCGATCCGGCTCAAACAGAACAGCTTTGAGCACTTTTAACCGCGGAATTATTTAATGTTATGGCTGCTCCTTTACAAATGTGTCAAGGAACAAATGTTGCATTTTTGTTAAGGCGATGCAGACTCGTATTTCTAAGAGACTCTTTAATTTCCCTGCTTGTTAACAGAATTTTTCATGCAACCGATATTTAAAAGTGGTTGTGGTTGAAAACATCTTCTGTGGTTGAAAACATCTTCATGAAATTATTTAGGGATTAAGCATCAAAAAGACGCCGATAACAAACGTTACATACGACATTTTTCTCTATTCAAGAACCAATAACAAGTCTACCGCTCAAAGAACCCACACATCTAAATGTCCAGGAATTTGGATCAGCATTTCAGCTATTCAATGAAGAGGCACGTTACATGACCATCTCGCAGCGAGCGTCTCCTCGTTATTTTTCGTGGCCCCACCTGCTCTGCTGTAATTACTTGGAGCGTCTGAGCAGATGCAACCGATACGACACAAAAGAATCTCGACGGACCCGTGAGCGCTAACTGATCGCCTACCAAACATGGCGACACTGTTTGACATTATTTTGGAACCTCGCCCGGCAGATGAACACAAGATAGCATTTGTAAAATTAGGAAGCTGACTAAACAGCAATCGACCTATCGTTAAATTGCTTCTGTCAAAATCGGCACGACCGTTGGCCGATCAGTATCCAAACAGGCGCCTTCCCGTACGGGCCAGAGAAAGCAGGATTTTTACCGACAGCTGAGAGATGGGCTATATTTCTGAACCTACACGTCGGGCATATCGATGGCACCATTTCTGTGGAGAATATTTTGAGGCATGGCGCAAGAACGTCCCGTCACGATGCGTGCGTCCATTACGCTGGATCCCGCGTCGCCGAGAGAGCCGACATGACTCGGATATTAAAACCCGGGCATGCGCCATCCCGAGTCGATAAAAAGGCCCGGTGCGACGAGCCATGCTGATCACCGCTCCATGCTCGGCCCTGCGGTCAAGACGCTCGATGACCCGAATGTCAATCACGTGTCAGACCGCGTGGAGCGAGAGGCGATTGCAGCCAGTCGCTGTGCGGCCGCCAGACACCAGCTCAGCAGGCCGGTGACAGCTGTCAGCTGCTGGCGGAGGTCACCTCAGCGAGCAGCTGACCGAGTTTGGCTGACGCAATCCGGCCTCGCCGATCCGATCGACGCTGGGTCTGGGTCTGAGTCTAGGTCTGAGTCTGAGTCACCGATGCGTCTGGGTCTGGGTCTGGGTCACCGATGCGTCTGGGTCTGGGGAGCCGATGGGTCTGGGTCTGGGTCGCCGATGGGTCTGGCGGGAGGCGTCACGTCAAGGTTGTGTTGACCCGACCCAGCCATCCTGATAGGATCTGACCAGGTCGCATAACTGCCACGTCTTCACTCATCCCATCTCGTCCCGTCGTGTCGCACCATGGTGACCTCGTCTCGTCTCGTCCCATCGCACCCCATTCACCTCGTCTCACCTCGTCCCATCGCGCTCTAGATCCTAGCACGTCCCAGCCTGGAATTGCAGCGTCCACGTCCAGTGTCGCCGATTTTCGTCCCCTCCCGCGTGTCGCGGCACATCGCTCTAGTCTGTGCCACGCCTCACCGTCCCAATGTTTCCATCATGTGCCCCATGATCCCAGCTCGTTCTCTTCACGTTTCCACGAACTCCCCCTCACACCCCATCGTGCTTCTGTTGTGCTTGAACGATGTCCTTCATCCCCTTCATCCCTCCCAACGCATCCCACCACGTCACTTACGTTTTCCCTGTCTCGGCACGTCCACCGGCCATGAATCCACCACGTCCCCTACCACGTCGTGCCTGCGCCCGCCACGTCCCTCCACGCTCTCGTCGCCTTCCAGCGCGTTCCGTCACGCGCCACTGCCGGTGCCATCGCGGTCGTCCCTCTCGCCACGTGTGTGTTCAGGCGCTGAGTGTTACTGGCCGGGGACAAAGGTGCCGCCTCGACCGGGACCGGGTCTCCAGACCGGTCCGGTACGGACCCGCCGTCCCATCTAATGGTCATTTCATCCTCCACGACTCTGTTGTTGACTTTTTGTTTTGGTCTAATGCAGTTTTAATGTAGCGGTCGAACGCTATGGCGATCCGATTCGAGAGATACCCGCCGCGGAGGGCAGTGGACCGGTGGGTCGCGAGACGAGCCACTCTAACGACGACTCTAACGACGGAAACAATTTGGGCAGACTTAATGGACCGTTCCTAAGCGAGATTGTGTGATGGAATATCCAGCAGGCGCTTTTATCGCGGGGAAAATCGGCTCCGGGGATCGGGCGGTTGATTGATATTTCTCCCTGTGCAGCAGAGGCGGTCATTTTCTCATTGAAGACAATCTGGGGGCCGGTGCTCCGCGCTGGCCCGTCCGCTGGCAGCTGCGGATTCGCGAACCGGCGCGGCTCGCCCTTCGCCTCCGTTTAGCGGACGGGGCCGGCGCGTCTGTCGCCGCTTCGCCGCCGTCCCCGGGGAACAAGGCCGCCAATTTCCGACATCTTCACAGCGACGCCTCCGCGAGAAGTTGAGTCCTTATCGCGAGGCGGCGTCTGGCACGCCGCGTGCGATCGGCCGGCCGGTGGAAAGATAGAGAAAGGCGGCGGCGGCCGCGGAAGGCTGGGCGCACACGCAGGCCACCCGACAATAGCGGCTGGCGCCCAAATAAAATGCTAGCTGTCTAGTGTGATTTAGGACGCAGAAAGAGATCCCACTCGTGTTTTCCTGAGGGAGAGATAGTGTTTTCGGAGCGTTTTGTTTGTGCGAAGCCCTGTTGTTTTGAAGAGTGCGAATAGTTTTTCGTCTCGCCAAGGGCCGCCGTCCTTAAAGTTTCATCGGAAGGGAGGTTCACTGGGCTAAATGAAATGCGACAGCACCTCAGAGTTATATGCTGGGGCTTTAAAAGTCCCATCACGATACTCCAGGATCCAATATTACGGTGAAGTGTCATAGGTTTTCTGAATGTCGGCATAGATAACCGAATGATGGCATAGTTCCGATGAAATGCGCTTTTTCCCAAATAGCGGACCTCTTCTAGCCAGTCTGGGCACTTATCTCGGATTCGAATGAAAGACGATACACTTGGAAATTTAACACCCCACTGTTGGATCTTGTTACGGACCAACACTTCATTGACTCGGAGGACAGCTACAGTAGCTGAAATGCAGACAAGAAAGTGACAGACGGTATACGTTTCTGTTCAATGACTTCGTGCTACATGTTGCTTAGTTGATACGAGGCTTAGTTATATTATAACGAAGCTTACTCCGAACATCCGTTTATAAGTTAAGGGGGTATCTTCAGTTCGGGTACAGCTCGATGCATCAAGGCAGAGCTTGATGGTTCGACATTCGACAACGACAACGACAACGACACTCATTCAGGTATGTCTTTGCTTTGACCGAAAATATCACGTTTCTATATCAGATGCTTTCGATTGCTTCTGGCAAAGGGGAGCAGTTTTTCTTTAGCTGTCAAACCCAAAGACGCCTCGCTGTCAAAAGCGTATGCTTTCAGGGTACAATTTGCAAAAATATAAAAGGAAGCGATCGAGGTTTCACGATCACGCGGAAGCGGTACGCAACACAGCCGCCTTCATCGTGACGCTTCCGCCACAGCACTAAAGCTTCTATTAAAACGTCCCACCAGCTTGAGTTTGGCAGGTCTGGGGTCTGGGGTACAGTTCGGCACTCATAGCCTGCCTCTGCGGCCGGGGGATGGTTTGCAATGAAATGGGCGCTGGAGGGACATTAAACATTTATTACGCCAACTTTCGGGTAGTATGTCAACCATTAACTCGGTGATGCATTCGTCAGCGGTGATATAAATCGAGACTGTCAGCCACGAGTCTGCCCTGTGAAATACGCCGTGCTGTCCGCGAGTGGAATTTACCCGGAATTGATATACTGAGAGAGACACGCCCTGTCGGCCGCGTATTGCCTTGACCAACAATATCTTTCAGTCGTATCTGGTGCGTAAATATTGGATTTGTCAAAGACGACCGACGTCGATAGAACTGCTTTACCCCATGCGCACTGTGCCTCTTGCCTTCTATGCCTCATACGGGCCACCTCTCAAACCGCCCGGTCCGTACACCAACCTCTCCGCACCATACGCCGACTGCTCCTCACACCGTACTGTGTCCCGTGCCTCCAGGGTCGGCCCCTGACGCCTGCTGTGACGCCGCCTCGCTTCTGCAGCCCGGCGTCCCCGGCGCGGGGCGGCCTGCGCGATGCCGGACCGTCCCGGTGCGCCTGTTCCGCTGTCAGCTTCGGCCGCTTACCACAGGAATTAGATTTTGACTGCGCTCGTCGCCCGGCGCTGGCCGGCCGGCGCGCGCAGAGCCGCCTGGCGGGCGCGCCGCGAAACCGGCCACGCCGGCCGCGGCGGCCGCAGTCGACTGCCGGGTACGGAGAGGGGAGGGGCGGTACGTGGCCCGGGCGCGTGCTAGCACTTGGCGATCTCACAGTGAGCTGAATAGGGTGCGAACAGTCTGCACTTTGCGTACGGAGATCACGAGAAGCCGTCAGTTGCGCAGTATATGAGAAGAAGCCGGGATATTCCGTGAGTACTTGCTCCTGTGAATGGTATAAACGTTCCGCGTTGTGCACAATATTTTGCCAGTTCGATGTATTTTCCAGTTGAGACGGGTCCCGGCCATTCTCCTCACTCAGCTCGCTGCTGTCGTTGCGCCCGTGTGAAATGTGCGTTGAGGAGTGTTTGTGTGAATCCGTCGATTGTGTGACAGTGCTTGCTGCCTTAAAAAATGTTCGTTCTGATGTGCCCAAATGTGTTTTGGCATTTTTATGAGCCGAATAATCCGTTTACGCAGCTCCTGCGGCACGTGCACTGCCTGATGATACATATTATCTGAGTAACGCTTGTCGAATCCACTCCTAGTTCTCATGAATGACTCATAAAGGACGATTGAAACTTCTTGGCTTTGTGGAGACATTGATAAAGGATGAATCGAAGTGCTAAACGGGGCTCGAGAAACCACATAAAGGATGCATCGCAATCCAGAAAGCAGAGGAGCCTTCTTCGGCTCAGGCTCAGAACAGCGAGGCACGTCACGTCGCACGGCCGGCGCCAGTGTAAGCGACCGTACGGCCGGCGCCGGTGTCAGTCACCACGCGGCCGGCGCGCGGCCAAAAGCCTGCGCCTGAGCTGAGCTTCCGACAGAGCCTGAGTCTGAGTCTGAGTCTGAGTGAGTCTGAGCCCAAGTCTAAGCTTCGGACTAAGCCTAGGCCTGGCCTTGATGCTGAATCTGAGCCTGAGCTTGGGCTTCAGACTGAATCTGAGCCCAAGTCTGAGCTTGAACTTCAGACTGACTGGGCCTGGGCCTGGGCCTGGGCATGGGCCTGGGCCTGGGCCTGGGCCTGGGCCTGGGCCTGGGCCTGGGCCTGGGCCGGGGCCTGGGCCTGGGCCTGGGCCTGGGCCTGGGCCTGGGCCTGGGCCTGGGCCTGGGCCTGAGCCTGAGCCTGAGCCTGAGCCTGAGCCTGAGCCTGAGCCTGAGCCTGAGCCTGAGCCTGAGCCTGAGTCAGAGGCCAGCACTTACCCACCCAGTACACCATTATGTCATGATTTTAAGCGACTGTTGATGAGACGGCGCCGGCGTGCCAGCGTCATCTGTATATGGACCGATTTGTGTATTTTAGGGTATCTTCTGAGTAATCTTTTGCAGTTCATCGCTAAATCTAGTTCAAACTTTGATGTGACAGGAGGCACGAATCACGTAGTCACCAGAGGAACCATCTGTCCCTGGAGACGTTTTAAGACGCCTCGGTCCGAGGAAAGGAGCGTTGCATTTGTGTGCGGTCAATGCCGCATGGCCGCTTGTGGGCGCGGTTAATGACAGCCTTCCATGATCTTTGCCGGTGACCGATCTAATTATGAAAAACTGAATCTGGCACGCCACTCATAAATAACGACTGCTTCGCGCATGATCGGTGGTCATGCTTCGCTGGCTCCGTTCGTGATCAGCAGCTCCCTGGTTCATTGCCATCACTTTCACATGTAAACAGGGGCCCCGCGCCACTGAAGATCGTCCCTGTAAGATGGAGTGAACAAAAGACAAATAAGTAACAAGTGACAGTAACAATATCAATAAATAACAAGTAAAAAGCAATAAGTAACAAAAGCACAACGCTCATTTGACAGAGGGTTTCTCACAAATACCCACAACGTGAAATTTTCTCGAATGATGGGTATATTGAGGATATGACCCTCATTGACAAAAGTGCAACTTTCGTATTCCAGCATGCTGTGCTGGAAGATGGGAACCTTCCAGTGACGATATTTGACCACTTTATATTCCAGTGACTAGTGACATGTGATAGCACTGTTACATCCGAAAGCTAAAGGCATTGCTGGAATCCTACGGCGGCCGGCCGGTACAAGGTCCAGAATGGTCCGAGAGAGCGCCCCATACGACCTTAGAGGACCGTCTCGGACGGCCGGTACAAGGTCCTGAATGGTCCGAGAGAGCGCCCCATACGACCTCAGAGGACCGTCTCGGACGGCCGGTACAAGGTCCGGAATGGTCCGAGAGAGCGCCCCATACGACCTCAGAGGACCGTCTCGGACGTGTTTCGCAGTCCCAAAACGACCCAAGAGCCTCGCGAATGATGACTACATAATCCGCATGTTCAGACTTTAAAAAAATGATAGACAGCATTGCCTTGGCGCTGTTGTCACTGCTGTGAACTTTTTTCTTCTGAAAACAGGTTTTGTCATGATCCCGCCGTCATGCGTGAGCATGCTCAAGGCCAAAGGCTGCCAGCGCGTTACAAAGGTCGAATGTTTTTGAATACTCCGGGATGGAGCGCCTTGTCAATGCTATTTTGAAATGTTTTAGAACCCACTCTTTTTTGTGACGCACGTTCTTTTTCCCCCAAACTTGCTGAAATACGTGTTCGTTCGCGTCACCCATTATCACTGTTTTTCACCCCTGCTTGCTTGGTGTGGGCGCATTACTGCCAGATTCGATTCCGAATTATTGCTTTTTTTCTCCCCGGATTTACGCCTCGCTTTAAAGCCACCTCGGTACGATGCTGTCGAGCTGTTTCGCCAAGTTGAGAACCTCAGAATCGGATCAGGAACAGGTTGGGAAACTTCGGTGGCTGGAGAGACGGCTGGGGTGGATATAGCTCCTTTGATTGATGAGAACGTGCAGTGGGTGCTGACGACCGCGCCTCTTTGGATGTCTGGACCTCGTGTGTGAAGGAGCGCTGGTCCCGTGCTGATGATACTTTATAATCCGGGCATGTATTTGACCAACGTGATGGTGTGATACCTTCCACAGACGCCATAAAAGCGCCTCGAATGTTTGAATGGGCTCGTGCCTTTCGTGGACATTATGTTTTCCTGGGCCTGCGCTCACCCCAAAGCGCACCAAACCGGGTGCATGATCCTTCGCGCGGTGAATATCAGGCGAGCTGACTGCTCCGACCCACCAGGCCCGTCTCCGGTCAGGGGCGGGGAGCGTCGCCGTACCCCCTCCCCCCAAAGCCGTCCAGCGCGACCGCCAACACCGCCCCAGGCGCCGCCCCTCACTTGCCGACCGGCGGATACGTACAATCGATACAATCAAGCGGAGAAGCCTCCGGGGGAGCGTAAAAGGGCGCCGCCGCCGCGTCCGCGCTGCGGGGGCCGGCACCGGCCGGGTGTCTCGTCGCTTATCGAGCCGGACCGTTCGGACAATGCTCACGAAGCGGGGCGCGCGCGAGTCGCGAGTCAAATGGCGCGTACTGCCCAGATGGGGCAGTCGGCTGCCCAGTGGGTGCTCTGTAGCCGTCTCGGGGTTTCAACGTGTGCAAACATGGCCGAGTTAGAGGTCATTGTCCGGTGGAGACGCACGCTTTCGGCTGCTTGCGTTGTGCTTTAGTCGCGCCCGAATGACATTCTGGAGGAGTGGTCCGACGGGTGCTGAGAGCTAGTCTCAACAGCTGAGTTTTGACGCGTCAGCGTCGTCACGCAACGGTTTACTTCAACACGAGCGTTGGTTCAGAGTAGAGAAAAACAATGTTAATCATTGGCGAACAGCTCCAACTATTTGGAATACATCCAGCCCCATGTTGTGAATTTAAGCGCCGTGCTCGTGAACTTTGCGGAGGAATAATTCACTTCTCACCTTGTCTTGGGGGTGGTCACCGGCGTCGGAGTTGCAAGTTGGCAAGGCACCGACATTTTTAGTTTTCCGTAGTAGTTTAAGAAGATTCGGTTTTTTGAGACCGTGAGGAGAATCGAGTGAAAAACGTTTCACTAACTCACACTTAAGAATCTTTCAACGCCCTTGAACCACGCCCAAATGCAAAGGATTACACCCCAGTGGTTCATAGAAACACAGAGGTAAATTTACAGCACTATAGGGTGTGCATAAAAAACGTATTATTTCCTTGTCACAGCACTAAGGAGTAACGTAGGGGGCGCATTGAAGTGCACTGGAAGGAAGATGCACCAAGGAAAGCTTACACATCTAAATATATATATATATATATATATATATATATATATATATATATATATATATATATATATATACTAAGCTCATTTTGCAGAATCGGCAGGTCAGCCGAAATGCCAGATAATTGCTAATACCGTTGTCTTACATGCCGCCCTAGATTGATAGCAAAGTGGCGGATAATTAAGCCACGTTATTTCATCATCCGACGCCCTGTCTTCCGTTGACGAAGCGGACAGCCCGGATTGTTATCTCCAAAACACCGAGAGCATAGAAGTCGTAAATTGTCCCCGACCACCGAATCGCAGTCTTCCCCGAACGCGTCAACGCCTACGAGCTGGCTACCACCCCGACACCGCATGTCCGCCATCCACGTCATCGCCTCGCCGGCGCGGCGCGGGCCGTGGGCCGGCCGCCGGCCGTCAGCACCGCCGTCAGCACCGCCGGCTGGTGCGCCGGCCGGTGCGTGCCCCGGCGCGCCGGTCGCCGCTCCCGCTCCCGGGGGACGGCGCCGCCGCCGCGCGCCCGCCTGCCAAGTCGCCGACGGAAGGGTACGCCGCTCCCGCCGGACGGCCCTGTCGATACGCGTTCCATTAGGTCGCGCGCCGGCCGGCGGCGGCCGCAGCGCCGCTCCGTCGACGACGACGGTCCAGTTCGACGGAGCCGACGGCGACGGCGCCCGTCGCACTCGGACAAGCGGCTCTTGGCGTATCGATTAGCCAGTTGTTTGTAGCTCTTCGGTCGCCGGGCGCCTCCTCTCTCGGCGGCTTTTGTTGGCTTCGCGAGTGGCGCGCGCCGCCGCCGGGCGTCGATAGCATCGCCATTAGGCCATCTTTACAAGTTATCTGCCGTTTTTCCGCCGATGCTATCGGCGCCCGTGGCACGTCGCACCGCGGCGACGCCGCGTGTCCGGCTTTTTACGTGTCTTGGTGACCGGCAGGGCGCCGGCAGGGCGCTGTGAGGGCGCCGGGAGGGCGCCGAGCGGGGCCAGAAGGGTGCTGGGAAGGCGCCGGGAGGGCGCCGGGAGGGCGTCGAGCGGGGCCAGAAGGGTGCTGGGAGGGCGCCGGGAGGGCGCCGAGCGGGCGCCGAGCGGGCGCCGAGCGAGCGGGGACGGATGCCGGCTGACATCGGGCTGCCGGCCTCGCCCGAATGACTCAGATTCGGCTAGGGTCAGTCGGTCCGCAGATGAGCCGATACGGACGCCGGTCGCACTGCTGCGTCCGCCTCAGACGCGCCTCCTCGCCGCCGCCGCGCCGGGCTCGCCGCCACCGCGCCAGAGGTCGCCGCGACGTGCAGCGCCCGGTCCCGCTGCAGCGCCTCTCGACTGCAGGTTGCCATTTTAGCGGCATTAATCAGGCCTTGAACCCGGTCGGTTGGCGTGTAAGCAGAGAGCATTCTTGTTCTGGCCCGTACAATTACCTAATTACCGGATATAATTATTGTCGACTGTTATCAGGGCGGGTTTTTGCGGGTGGCTCCGCCTGGGAGTGCGCTGCTTGCGGTCGGCCGGCTGAGAACGTCCGCGCGCTGCCCGCCGGATGCGAACTGTGCACGGCCCCACTTCAAACGGCGCCATGTTGGCCGCCGGCGAGCACAGCCACGGCCCTGCCCGCTTCCGAGAAGCGCACCGGTCCACCTTTTGGGAAGCGCCGACGCGGCGGGGCGTGTGAGCTGGCGCCCGGCCCGGCGCGTAACTCACCGAGGCCGCGTAACGCACCGCTCCGTCCGCCCAGCTTGTAGCCGCCGTTGGGCCAGCCGAAGGGTGTCCGGCGCGTCACGTCGCAGCCGCGCCGGACCCGGGGCGGACTGGCCGCGTCGACGGGTCCCGGCGTCGGCGCGGGGGGGGGGGCGCCGACGAGGTCCGGCTCGGACCCACGCGGTCCAGGCCGGACCGGCGCCGCCCGGGCCGGGCCGCACCGCCGAGGCGAATGCCAATGAGTGCGCCGGGCGGCGGCGGACGTGACCGGACGGCCGCGCCGCCGGCCGCTCCGCTTCTTTGTGGCGACCTGGGGTGCGTGCGCCGCGGGCCGCTGGCCGGCTGCTGGGCCGGCCGTCGGGCGAACTTCCGGCGAATTTCGGCACGGCGGGTGTGCGGGGCACCGGTGCGAGTGATGCTATCGGAACACCGCGGCGGACCGAGGAACCTGGGGTCGTGACGGTGTCGTTCCGAGCGACAAGCGGCGTTGGTGTTTTGGGTGCACTGGTTGAATGGCAAAGGTAAGGTATGGATCCGGGCGGTCCGGTCCTGCGCCTAGGCCATTTGTTTTGGCTGCCCTTTGTCTGATTCATTCCGCGAAATGCGACCGCGCAGTGCAGAATGCGATAGCAAGGACAGCGGGCGACGTAAAACAAACTCGATCACCCGCCACGATTCCCCTGGGCAGTGTTGAACGCCAGGCCTCCGCCGGGACCGAGTCGTGCCGGACGACTGGCGCGCGCGTCCCGCCGCCTCCCACGCGGCGGCCGCGCCGGCCGGCCGACCCGGCAGCCCAGCCCGCCTGTTTATTTACACTGTGCTGACGACTCTCTGCAGCGGGCGGGAGCCGGCCGGGCTTGTCGAACGCCAGCTGGCGGTCCGGACGACCGGCCGCCGTCCCCGCGAGCGCTGCCGGTCACCTGACCCCGCACCCCTTCCCGGCCGCCCGGTGGCGGTCCCCCGAGCTCGCCGCCTGCTGCGGTCGCCGAGCTGTGACCTCGCGGCCGTCCGCCGCTCTCCGCGCCTCCCCGGTCATAGAGATCGGGAGATGTCACCTGATGATTGGCCTCCACGGTGCCCGCATCAAGGCTGTGACTTGTCACGTGACGTAACGCGCAGTCGCCCGCATCCCAACCGCTCTCGAGGCGGAGGCGAGGGGCCTGACATTCCGGGGGCGTTGTCTCATAGCCAAGCGGCGGGCCTGCGCCAGACGCCCGACCTGTGACCCCTATCATCAAACTGTTCAATTATCGGCGCGTCTGTTTTTCGTTCCACCCGTGATTTCGTGATGCCTCACGTTAACTGTTGTGGTATTCATTGATCCCGCCTTCTTCGCTTGGTGTGACGACACCTCCGTTCCCCTGCCTCTGCGTTCGTTGGCCTGATCGCCCTCCTGGTCAGCCCGTTCAGTCTGATCAGCTCACCCATCGCGCTAATTAGCCTGCTGATCCACCTGCTCACCCCGTTCGCCAGCCTGCTGTGTTGTATGTCAGGCTGCTGTGTTGGTGGATCCGCCCGGTCTTCTGGACAGTCTCCTCAGTCTGCTGTTCGTCCACCTGATCAGTCCGTTCGTCCGCCTGATCAGTCCATTCGTCCGCCTGATCAGCCCGTTGGTCCGCCTGATCAGCCTGACAGTTCCACCGGACGGTCGCCGCCCCGCTAACGGGGCAGGTGTCAGCTGGACCGCCTCGCCATCCATTTGTCTCTCCCATTTGGCGCTGTAACTGTAGCTGTCTCTGTGATGGACGCCCGCTGACTCGGTTAACTCGCCGGTCGCTTTGTCTACGCGCTTCTCCAGTGTCCTGCCATGGCGATCTCACTCTTTACTGTCCGGCCCGCGGTCCACCACCGTTTTTTGATCGCTGTCCGCCGGTCACCGCCCGTCCCGTGAGGAAGCTCGGGCCACCGCTGCCGATCGCCGCCGCCTGTCTCGGCCGCCGGTGCCTCCGCGTGCTCTCCCCGCGCCGACCTTTGCCTGCGGGTCTCCGCCGACCTGGAGGTCCGGGGAAGCGCGGCAGCCGTGCGCTACTGACCTGCCCGGCCCGGCCCGGCCCAGCCGGGACGCCGTTATCCCCAGTCTCGGCAGGCGCCGCCGGCCGCCCGGGTAGCTCACCAAACAGCCGCCGGGCTGTCATTAGACCAAATTAGCGGTGGACAGGTAATCAAAAACAATAGCAGAACCGCACACTCGAGGCTTCCTTACACAAATTATATCGCGCGCGGCGCAATCAGCACGTCCGCCAGTCACGGGGGCCGCACGAGAGGTGAAGGCATGGACGGTGGGCACGAGAGGTGAGGGCATGGATGGTGAAGGCATGGACGGTGGGCACGGGAGGTGAAGGCATGGCCGGTGAAGGCATGGACGGTGGGCACGGGTGGTGAAGGCATGGACGGTGGGCACGAGAGGTGAAGGCATGGCCGGTGGCACGGGGTGAAGGCATGGACGGTGGGCACGGGTGGTGAAGGCATGGACGGTGGGCACGGGTGGTGAAGGCATGGACGGTGGGCACGGGCGGTGAAGGCATGGACAGCGGGCTTGGGCCCAGAGAGCAGCCGCTCTGGTCACCGGTGCTGTGCGCTGACGATGGGCGGCCGGTGCCGATCTCGTGTGGTGACCACGGATGGCGCCCATGGCATTCGCAGACGTGCAATGAGCCCGCCGCTGCCACCACGCCATCTTCCCTGCCTCGTACGCCCTATTAATATTCAATAAAAATCATTTGAACTAAGCACTCTGGACGGCGCTGCCCGCGGCGCGGCAGCGGCGTGTGCCGCATGCAGATGAGCGGCCTGCAGCCATGCACAGGCAGCCGGCTTTTTCTGCGGCCGGGCGGCCGGCCGGGCGGCGCGTACGCTCGCCGGCTCTCACGACGCGTCGCTGCAGCGGGGCGTCCATGTGGGCCGGGGACGCGGGCGGACGGGTCCCCGGCCCGGCGACGGTCGTATCGAGCGGCGGTCAGCACGCGACCCGCCTCATCCCGGCGCGCAGGTGCGAAGTGTGACCTGCGCGGCGTCCGTGGCCGCCGCCTGATGGTATTAGGCGCCCGCGCGGCGCCCGCCGGCCATTAGGGCGCCGGCCGCGTATTATGGCGGCTCTCTCACCTGGCGGCCGGACAATGGCGCGGCGCGGCGGGGGTCGCGCGCGCCGCCCGGCCGCGCCTTTCAGCGGCCGCCGGGGTCGCCGGCGCTTTGGCCGCGCGCGCCGGCCGGCCGACGGGCGACCTCTTTATGCGCCGCGCGGGGGTTGCGCCGCCCGGAGGAGCGGCCGACGGCGGCGGCCTGACTGCTGACCCCCGCTGACCCCTGACAACAGCCCGCCGCCCGCCGTCGGCCATTCTCGTCACGGCGCGGCGGCCGTTGCCGGCGATTGTCCGTCCGTCCCGTGTCGGCTTTACGGCCGGTGACGCTGAGAGCTGCCGCCGCCGCCGCCGCCGGCGCCGCGACCGGCCCGGATCAGCCTGCAGCGGCGGCCGGCGTGTGCCCGGCAGATCTCGGGCGCTGTTTATTGGTTCGCGCGGCGTGCGATGTCACCGCCGTGGGACGCACCGCTGGCCGTATCGACCGGGCCCGATCGTACCGGCGCCGGCGTTTTTCCGGCGCCGCCTGTTGCCGCCGGCGGGGCGAGGTCGCCGACTAATTGGTTGCCGTCGGGTGACGTCACGCGCGGGGACCTGTCGCTGACGCGTGTGTGTCTGTCTGCGGTTTCAGCGGCGGGCGCCGTCGCGACGATGGCGTCTCTGGGCCGGCTGGCCTGGCTTCTGGCGCTGGCGGCGGCGGCCGTGGCGCAGCCGCCGCGCCCACTGGTGGCGCAGCTGGACCTGCGCGACGAGACGCGGCGGCTCGCGCACCTGGTCGTCGACTCCGACTCGGACCGGCTGTACGTGGCCGGCGTCAACCGTCTGCTGGAGCTGAGCGCCGACCTGCAGGTGACGGCGCGCGCGGTGACGGGCCCGGTGGCCGACGCGCCCGACTGCCCGGCCTCTGGCTGCCCGCCGGCGGTCGACGCCCAGCCCACTGACAACGTTAACAAGCTGCTGCTGCCGGTGGAGGGGCGGCTGCTCAGCTGCGGCTCGGTGCGCCAGGGCGCCTGCCGCCTCCACCAGCGCGCCAACATATCGCGCTCGCAGTTCGTCGACGTCGAGGTAGCGGCCAACGACGAGCACGCCTCGACGGTCGGCTTCGTCGGGCCCGAGCGGTACCACCCGTGGAGCGGCTCGCAGGTGCTCTACGTCGGCACCACGTTCACGAACGTGGGACCGTATCGGCACAGCGTGCCGGCCATCGCCTCGCGCCGCCTGCCTGGACTGGAGCTGGCCGAGTACTCGTTCTCGCAGCAGTCGCTGCTGCGGATCGATGTCAAGTACCGCGACCACTTTCTGGTGCAGTACAAGGCCGGTTTCGCGGCCGGGGACCACGTGTACTTCGTGGCGGTGCAGAAGAAGTCGCACCTGCCCGGCCAGGACGAGGTGGGGTACATTTCGCGGATAGCGCGCGTCTGTGTGACGGACCCCAACTACAACAGCTACACGGAGGTGACAGTGGAGTGCGGCGCGTACAACCTTGTGCGGTCGGCCCGTTTGACCTCGGCCGGCGCCGATCTGGCCGCCGCGGCCGGGGTCAAGACCGGCGACCCGGTGCTGGTGGCAGTGTTCTCGCCCAGTGACGGCAACACGATGGTGTACCAGAACAAGTCGGCCGTCTGTGTTTTCCCGCTGGCCGAGGTAGACTACAAATTCAACGAGAACATCCACATGTGCTTCAACGGCACCATGCGGTACCGCAACATGGACTACATCTCGGGCAAGATCCTGGACGGCAAGTGCCCCGAGACTCGAGTGAGTACCCCGGCGTGGCCACTGCCGAACCCGGCGTCCAACGCATTGAGGAGGAGCTGCAACGCCCCCTCATTACTCCTGATGACGGCTGAACAATAACCTGATGAGTTTGATGCGTGTTTGTGTGCTAGTCGAATTTGAAGGTTCTTGCATCATCTTTGGTACTTTTCCGCGGCCCTGGCCAATTTCTGCGAACAGGTTTGTTTTGGATTGGTGCGCGGGCGCAGTGTGCAGCAGTTTCATTATCACTGAGAACTTCGGTACTGAAAGCAAATATGTAGGACAGCGGAGATTGTAGGGTAAGGTAAGCAATACATGCGAGGCTTTCGTGCGGTGGTTCGATGGCTTTCGCACGGCCCCTACATTTGTCTATAGCTTCTGAAATAAAACTTCGTATGTCATTCAGGATGCAGGCTACTTCAGCTAGCAGGAAAGTGGGCGGTTCATTTCGACACCCCAGGTCTCAGTGATCCCGACACTTGCTGCCGACATTTCTAAGACTGGGGGGGGGGGGAGGGGAGGGGGGGGGGGTGGTGGTGGTAACCTCGTCCGTCACTCGTCTGCCCGGTGCCCCCGTCCCCGTCCCGGGTCTGCCAGGAGCCTATGTGACCGCGCGTTGTCTTCTTCGCCCCCGCCTGCGTGCCCGCCCAGGCCACAGGCTCATCCGAGAGCGTGGTGTCTCCCCCACCAACCCGCCGCCGGCCCAGCAGGTTACTTGGCCATTGTTTGGACGATTAGCGAGGCTCAGCGCGCCGGTACTCCGTCGAAAACAGGGATCTGTTTGCGGTCAGGGGATAAACAAGCTCGCGCCTACCACAACAGGGTAGCTGCTCTGCTCTTTTGCACGCAGGACTGATCTGGACGGGGCTGTTGTTCGGTCCGTTGGATATCTGTGGCTAAGCTCTTTCGTAAATTGTTGTCATTCTGGCCAGGAAGATGAGTAACTTGCTAAGAGTCCGCCGTCCCCGTCGCAAACAAGCCCGCCAGTAGCTTGTTTATCTAGTTTTAATTGCCCCCGCAGGGGCGAACTTCTAGCGTTTTCCTCTCGGGAGCCGGTCCGACTGCAGCCTCCGATTTCCGCCAATCCCCGCCGCGAACGCTGCCGCCCACCACGAGTTGGCCCCCGCGTCTGCGCCCGCGGCGATGGTCCGGCACTGAACTTACCCGCTCCGTCTTAACTTTCCGCGCGCGACGCGGGCGGCTGGCTGGGCGAACGCGTCGCGCCGGGCGCGCCCGACCGCGCCGCTCATGTAAATGACGCGTGCGTCGCGCCGCTCGCCGCGCCGCGCCCTAATGCGGCGTATTTGTCACTCGCGGCGCGCCGCTTACTTTGATAGCTTCCCCGGCGACGGTAATGACATGCGAATAAGGCCCATTTTAAGTGGCGCCCGCGCGGCCTGGCTGCGCTGGGTCGCCGGGTCGCCGCCGGTCATTAATAATAACCACTTAACGGACGGGCGCAGCGCTGAGAGCCCGTAATAAAAACGCACCGGGCCCGGCATTAGCTGGCCGAGATGGTGGCCCGTCTGTGGTGCTGCGCCACCACTGACCTGTCTGCGTGGACCTGGAGCTGACCTGGCGGCACTGACCTGCCTGCACGGGCTCGACTGCACTGACCCGGCTGCACTGCTCCGGCTGTATTCTGACCTGGATGTGCTGGCCTGGTGACCCGGACATGACTGCTGCTCTGGCGGTGCTGACCCGTCTGCGCCGACTTAGTGGTACCGGCCTGGCAACGGTGTCCTCGCGAAAAATTGACTTGACTGGACCGCCCCGGCTGCACTGACCTATACGTTCTAACGCACCACTACTGGCACCCATCTTATCTTCTTGTTATCTTCCTGTTATCTTCTTCTTGTGTTCTTTTCTTGCTCGCTTTATCCTGCATTCTCGCGACGCCCCGTTTGTCCGGAGCAGGCTAACACGCACTGGCCATGAGTGAACGTCATTGCCCATCGGGGCACGGGGGGGGGGGGGGGGACAAGCGCCCAGCACATATATACTCGATGAAGAGAGCTCCAGGTGCGCAAAGATCTGCACCACCGTTATACACCCTCCTTCATCCCATAGCCCTGAAGTGGGCATGAATGACCGAAAGGGCCCTTTTGCAAACACGCAGACCAGGCGGGGGTGACTGGGGTGACTGGGGTGACTTCCTGACTGGGCTGTTGGCTGTGCTCACCTGGCTGCACCGACCTAGCTCTGCTGACCTGGCTAACTGGCCCGTTGATTGGTTGATCCGTTAAGTTCGCTGCCCGCTTTATGCTTGATCTCTCCTGTACCCCAGAATTTGCGGTTGCCAGGCGTTATATATCTTGTAAGATCACGTACCCAGAGAACCGTTTGGCCAAACTATCTAGTATGCGCGGCATAAAACAAATTGTCGAAGTTTTGAAGTCTTGTGGTACGCTAGTTGATTTTCAGTCTCCTGAGGACTTGAAGTCCGCCATGCATACTGTTTCACATCTCCTGACCGCCTGCCGGCTGAACGGGCGCAAGCACGCCGCCTATAGAAAGTGACGACGCTGCTGAAGTTTACCACGTTTGTCTGAGCGCAGAGAAAGTACGGGTGAGGGACGATGCCTCATGTCTTGCGGACAGAGACGCGTACCTGTCCATCCAGAGCGGTGACCTCGAGGCATCCACTCTCTCCGAGACTTTTTCGTAGTCTTCTCGGCTCTTTTTCACGTGCCGGTTCTATGTCGCTCCCTCACTCTCACTCCCTCACGACTTTTCAGTTCTCCCTCTCCCACCGTGCTCCTTTGTCCACAGACCCCTTCACTTCATCCCCTCCCTTCTCGACTCTTTTCCTCGCTGACTTACGCGACGCTCATCACCCCCTCTTTCTCGCTCATTTTTCCTGCTTCTCACTTTTCTTCACCCCATTGGCCGCGCTCCTTACCGCCGGCGGTGGCTTGACTGCCCGTCCCGCACGAGCGCTGGCCAGCCGTTACCGGCTGTGGGATGCGTGAGGCTATCGCCGCCGGCAGTTTGCCCAGATTTACTGGAGGCGCCCGTCGGCGCCAGCAATATACAGCTCATCCGAGCCGGCGACGCGCGCGCCGCGCCGGCCGTCGCCTGCGCCTGACAGGCGTCGCCACCCCTCCCCCCGCCAGGAACAGGCGCGCAGGCGCTGCCGACAGCGGCCCAATCGTACGTTTTAGCTGACGGCTAATCAATGAGCCAAGTGGCAGCGCCGCGAAGGCTAACGCGCCCTGTATGCATTGGCGTGCTGGGGACGGCGGCGTGGCTCCGCGGTGGGTGCGTTCGGCAACGTGCGTGACCGGGGCAAGGCCGCCCACGCCGAGCCGGGTCACTCTGGACAGGCCGCAACCCTGGCGTGAATGTCATTGCCACGCACCGAGGTCCGATGTCTCCCGGCGGGACACACCGTGTCCGCGTTGCTGGTAGCTGATCGTCGTCGCTGCCGGTGTCGTCTCGTCATGTTCTGTGACGGGTCATCACCGGCATCAGATAGGTGCGTGGGGCTGGCACTAGCGTGGTGATATGAGATCCGCCCCATCGCCGCCCCATCCAGGTGTGTCGTGTCGTTTTCGGCTGCGGCGGTAATGGAAGTGGGGATGGGAGAGCTGGGGAAGTGGGGGAGAGGGGGAGGGGGCAAGCTAGGGGTGTCGCCGAGAATGGGGCAGGGGTGTCTGTGGGCCCAAGAGCCGCTGCTGGGGAGCTTCGTCTTGTCACTAGTCCTGTCTCCAGTTCGGCAACCAGCCGTGAAATGAAGTGACCCAACGAAATCCCCGGATAAATCCATGATATCGTGCTGGAGCGAACGCCAGTTAACCCCTGGTTAACTGGCTGTTCCGGGCGGCACATTTGCAGTTGGCGGTCTGAGCTGCTCAAAGCACACCGCGGTCCGGCCTTCGTCGCCGTCTCACGTCAGAAGCTTGAAATCGGTCGGTCATTACCCATGCATGCGGCCTCTTACCACTCACACCAGCGCCCTGAACGCCAGCGAAGTTCAGTCAGGATTTTGCTCTCAATCTGCCCTCCTCGTTTCTGGTCGGTGGAACCTTTCACGGCCCGGTGATTGGCGTGGGTGTCCAAGTGGTCTCAATGGATCTCCTCGCCGGTGTCGGCTCAGTTCAGAGAACATCCGGCTGTGCCTGGTCTCCGCAGGACTGCTTCCTGATGGGCGTAAGTGAGTGTGTCGCTCGTCGAACGTATTTTAATGCTACGATATGCCGTGTCGTGCCGGTGTTTGCATAACGCACCAATCGGCTTCATTACAAAGGCTTGCACGGGGCACCAACTGACGCGGGTGACTGGCCTTTGTGGATGATCGGTATGTCCGGTTTTCCTAGGATGTGACAACAGCGATGTACAACCATGGGGTCCGGTGATAATCTCTGTGTTGATTCATGATAACAGAAGCTGAGATATGATGCTGCGAAGGCATACACTCAGCGTGAACACTTCCTGGCAGCTGTGGAAGACTCGAAGGACTGCGACGAATTTTTCCTCGTTATTACTTAGCGTTATGTGTTCGACCAAACTGATCGCGTCAGTCGCTTTCCGAGACGTTTGATCAGCAGCGGCTCAGAACTGCACTGCGTGTGCTGTGGATACAGCAAGTACTTGCATTCGAGGGCTCCAACTTCGGCAGCTCGGCTGCTAAAAGCCAATCGTGTCCCGTGGAACTCCTCCAGACCCAATCGCGACCGTTTGGGGGACGCTACTCGTGTTTCGATCGGTGCCGGCTCGTTTAGTCACCTCGAATCGGCCGAATTCTCGGCGTCGCACCGCGGCCGCAGATCGTTACGCGCGATGACATTCAGAAAGATCGGCCCAGATGGGGATCGGAGGCGGGCCGCCACCGGAGCCGGAACGCCCGGCAGCCTGTCACGCGTCACCTCGTGTAATTTGCGTCCGGGATCAGCGGTCTGCCCGGGCCGCCGCCGGCCGGGAGGGGTGCGATATTATCTCTGATCAGCGCCTCTCCCCGGGCGGCAGTGGCGCGGAGACGCGGCACCTCGGTCTGGAGCCGCTTCCCGGCGGCGCCCCGGTCTGGAGCCGTTTCCCGGCGGCACCCCGGTCTGGAGCCGCTTCCCGGCGGCACCCCGGTCTGGAGCCGTTTCCCGGCGGCACCCCGGTCTCGAGCCGTTTCCCGGCGGCACCCCGGTCTGGAGCCGCTTCCCGGCGGCGCCTGGTCTGGAGCCGCTTCCCGGCGGCACCCCGGTCTCGAGCCGCTTCCCGGCGGCGCCCGGTCTGGAATCGCTTCCCGGCGGCGCCGGCGCGTGCCCGGGCCGTGTTGACGGACGGCGGCGCGGGGCGGGCCGTCGCACCTGACCCCGACACGACACGGCGCGCCGCCGGCCGCTCGCCATCGATCGACAGGCGGGCTCGGAGGCCGACTGGCTCGCGAGCGGAGCTGCGGCTTTCATAGACCGCGGTCCGAGCTTCGGTACCCACCGACTCCAGCCGCGCCGCCCCGCGCCGCGGGGCCGTGGGCCCGACGTGCGCTTGCTGAGTGATCTCGGCGTACGTTCGTGGGCGCTCGGCTCGACGTGCGAGGCACTTCCCGTCGGATAGTGAATGGCGAAAACGGCACCATGGCGACGGGAGATGAGTGGTGAAGTGTGGAGAGCCAGCTTCAGAAGGCCGGGCTCTCTTCTGCGTGACCGGCGATGGGCGCCGGAGGGCTCTGTTGTGACCTTCAGCAGCGGATGTCGGGGGTGGCACCCTTCCGACCTCCGTGCGCCTCATGGTCAACCCCGCGAGACTGCAGCGTAATGACGGTGTTTAACTCGGGTGTCTGCCCCGTTACAAACTGCCACTTGAGTTATTTAAGCGGCCCTCTCGAGTAGCACTGATTATCCCGGTATCAATGAACCATGCTATTGAATGGGCATATTAATTTGCCATCCGTCTCATCAATATTCATGAGACTGAGGACATTACAGCCCACTGACGGTGCCTTGTTCCAAGCGATTGCCCCTCCCTTAATGTTCATCTTATGCGATTGTAATTACCATGATCGTGGTGCATTTCACAAACCTGCGAAAACGCCCCAGCTTATTCCCAAATATAGAGTGGCCGCCAGGCCATTGAAGCTCATTATGACCTGTGCACACTCCCTGTTGCCGGTGGTTTTGCAAGCAGTTAGTGGCCTCCTACAGGCTCTTCCAGCCGACACCCAACGGCCTACACCAGCGATTGTGCAGCCTTTAAGTAGCGTTTTCCAGGATCCATCAATGTTACGCGGCGTCAAGCCCTCTGAGTCCACGAAGCCACGCGCGAGCGGCCTGTTGACTTTGACGTCCGTCCATCCGTACACTGTTGTCGCCGTTTCCGTGAACCAACTGGAACTTTGCATGAGCGAGGCCTGCGGGCGGCCAGAGTCGTTTAATCGGCGCGACACGACCCGCCGGCTCACGGGGCCTTATCGTCACCGGGCGGAAGAGCTCGGGGCCCGGAAGTTTGCTTCCGGTGACGCTCTCCTGGCTGGCATCGGTCGCTGAGTGAGCCACGAGCCCGAGATTAGCAGCGGTTCGTCAGACCGATATTTTTGTCCGTTCGGGCCGCGAAGTACGGCGTCGTTAATCCAAATGCAGGCCTCGCCGGCAGCAGGCTGATTATTCTCGGCCAGCTCATCAGCTCGATACGGACGCGGCTGTAATCTCAGCCGTGCTTTAATGGGACCGACTCGTCAAGTCCGGCCATAATGCGGCTCTCGGGGCGACTGACACGTGGCTCTGTTGTCAGCGGCTGCTCGCCAGGTGGGAGCCGGCGACGAGGGCAGCCGCTGAGCTTTCGACAGCGCCCTCCATGACCACGTACCCCGCCACTGGCCGCCACGCCGTCCATTGCGCCCATTCAGACTCATTCATCCACTTCGGAGTGAGAGCGGATGCGGACCACCGCTCCAGTTGGAAAGATTTGAAAGGGTGCTGGCGTTCAGTCCTCCCGCTTCCTGACCGGAGCTGACCTGATTCCGGTCAGCCTCTGACGGGCCTTCGGCACTGCTCGACATCACGGCGCTTGATGAGCTGAACCGGGCGGGACCGGGCGCGGACCGGCCCCGTTCTTCTGCCGCCACCCGGCCGACGTGTCGCGGGCGCGGCCGCCTCGTGAAGAGAGCCAAATGAGACCGTGCTCTACTTTGCCGGCGGCGGGCAAAATATGTTGTGACGTAAGGGCCGTGCGTGTTGCGAAGCCCGGCACGAGGCCCGGCTTACCACGGTCGGCTCGGCGGACGTGGCTGGACTTCCTGACGGGGGGACAAGGTCGCCTGGAGCGTCCTTATTTTGCGACCGAGAGCATCACGACTGAGGTGAAGATTGCAAACACCGGGCGGCTGCCGGACTGTCTCAACCGCCGTTAGTTTACATGGGGTCGCCCAGTCCACAAAGCGCCTGTGTTCGTTCCGGACGTTCAGGTGGTTAGAGGCTTCCGATTCGCTCACCCGTGGCTAGGTGAGTTTGAGTCGCCTCAGGCGCTATTTTCGCCTGGCTGGAATGGGCTGTGACCAGTCGCAGCGGCCACGCTAAAGGTCAGGTGACATCAGACGGCGAGAAGAACCGTGCCGAGCATTGCGCCACGTTGAGCTTTCGCCGAAAAATTCCGCCATTGATCCAGAATCCCATGATCGCATGGTGGGGCAGAGGTCACACAACAGCCTGCTTACTTTGGGCGCTATTCCCAGAAATCCATTCAATTAAAAAGGTTTGAACCTAATCTAAAAGAGGGTCGATATAAACAACCATAGCCACAAACGTTTTGGGAAGAATGTAAGAAAATGCCCCAAATTCGATGATCCAAAATTAGGTCCAAATAGCTGACGCAGAGGATAATCATGCAACAAGGCTGGGAGACAGATTTGAGTGGCAATATCACTGCACCCTTTCATGCGAGCCAGTCACATCATATGGTAGCTCAGATGATGTTCAATTCTCCTTTCAAAGTTTTGAAACATGGCAGAAATATTGAGATGCTGTTGGCGATTTTCTGTGACTTAAACGTAATCCAATCAACATTTAAAGACGCACCCCAGCATTGCGGTGCAGACTCTACCGTTCTGAATGGTTTTATATCACGGGGATTCGCCAGCTAGGCAACGGGATATCTCGGATTCAGCCCGATCCCATGCTCCTGTCTCTCACGTCTGTCCGTAATGGTGGGGTTTCGGCGCATGCGCCCCACTGATTGCGGGCCGCATTTCTGCGGTTTCCGAACATGAGCCGGAACCCACGCGTGGCTGTCCGGGCGCGGTTTCGGGCCGGCCGCGGTCTGACGGTATTTCTGCGTTTTCAGAGCGCCGGCCGGAACATTCCGGACTTCTGCGAGGTGGGGCTGAAGATCTCGGGCGTCTCGCCGCTGATGGGGACACCGGCGCTGGAGCTGCCGACCACTGGGCTGACGGGGCTGGCGCTGGCCACCACCTCCTCCCACACGGTCGCCTTTCTCGGCACCAATAACGGCAGCGTCATCAAGGTGAGCGCTAGAGCAAGCGGATGCTGCGACTGCGACAGGGCCGGGGTCTACCATCATCGATACCTGCAGCTGCACGAGGTTCGAAGGAGCTGGGGGACATACACAAGAGTTTGTGGAATCAGGCGCCGCAGACGCCGCCACAAATATGTCGGGGTCAGTAGACGGGACACGCTTAACAAAGACCGTGGCCAGTTTGCGCCAAAGCGGCTGCATAGACTTACAAACATAAGCCATGAATATAGCGGAGCATGCAGCGGGGTGGTGACGGGCTGCCGCCAAAGAGAGGCAGAGCCCGCATGCTGGTACCTGCATTCAAGCGTGAAACTTTTCGAAGATAATTGGGAAGAAAGAGTTAAAGTCAGGGTTTTGAGAGCACTTGCTTTCCACATTAGACCCTAGGCTGAATTTAATAAATATCGTCAGTGCAAAAGCACTCGTTCCGTGAATGGGACCAGTCACACCCGATGCCTTCGGACATCATGAACGGACAGCTGCTACACACAGATTTCACGTCTGGCCGAGCGGCCACCAGCCCATCCTACGGGGTGTCAGCACCGGTGAAGGCACGTCACCAAGGTCCACAATTACCATCACCGCGCCCGCCTGCCTCCTTCTCACACTGTCACGTACGCCAATAACAATAACCTCATCTAGGTAGCAATTATCTGTCGGGACGCCCGAAACGCCTCTCGCCTGGGCGTCGTCCGTCCCGTCAACACGACATGCGTTCCAGAGCGCCGGGGGCGCTGCTGGACGCTGTTACATCCGGCATCTTCGGCGGGGCGTGCGAGCTCCGCGCGCGAAGTAATGTGCGGGCCACATACCTGGGTCCGGTGGCGTGGCCGGTAGGGGCGTTGCCCGCGCCCCCGTGACTACGGGGTCATGTGCGACCTTCGGGTCGCGCTGCGGTGCTGTTGACTTCCGCCCCGGCAATTTGCACCGCGAATGCCGCCGTCAAACGCTGCCGGCACGGCGACATTTTGGTCTGTCCGCGGGCGGCTTCTGACCCAAAGTGTCGCGCGCGGAGCACGAACGTTGACCTGCGACGGAACGGCGCCCGCTGACCGATTGAGGGTCGCCGTGGTGAGACCGAAAGACTGACCTGAAACCGATCAGGACGCGAGGTGACCCAAAGCCAATTTCGGGGCTTCTCGGCCGAATGTTAATTGCCGCAAAGTCGGACTGACGGGACAGAATGACACCAGTTGTAAATTGAATTCCCGCTAAGAATGATTGCTACGTCAAATCTCAGATCGACTTTCCTTTGTCTGGCGGCAGCGGTCGGGCACGGTCGTTCAGATTGCCGGTCGAAGTTTTTGCTTCCGCAGGATTTAATCAGGAAATGACATACAGGATACATATTGGCCTGAAATGGAAATGTGAAAGCGGCCACAAAACGCTCGCAATCTTCTACTGTTTAGTGCCCGTCTCTCTCAACATAGCATTTGCATGACCTGTTGCGGCTGTCGTAAATGAGATTTGCATGACTTGTTGCGTCTGTCATAAATGAACTGAATGGGAGCTGAGTCGAAAAATAAATTAACTTTATGAATAGGACAAAGACTGGGTAGAGAAAGGCGATTGGAGGCCTTTTAGACCCTGGGTCAATGCCGTGAAATGATCTTCACTTTTTAATGAATTGGTCCCTGCCCTTGGGTGAAGCCTCAACTGTCCCCCAGAGCCAGTGCTCCGAGGCAACTGATGCACAACCATTCTGAGGAAACGTGATGCAACGCAATCGTCTCGCCCGTTTCACCCACCTCTGCGTTAAATACGGCATCGATGCTTCATTTGTGCGGTGTGCCATCTCGCGTTGTGTTGGGGACCCGGCCTCCCTGCGGACTAACTGTACTCGAGGGCGTGACATTTGATCAGAACCTCATCGCTCACGCGCGTCCATTGACGGTCGACGCTCCTTTCAGCAGCGCTCGCGTTCGCGGTCCTCGCATGACCCGCGCGCGCGCGCCGCCCAGGAGGACAGGGGAGGACGGCGGGCTCGGCCGGCCCGCGGCGCGCCCACCCGATGCGGGGTCAGATACGGCGCCATCCGTTAGATGGTGCGATTTGCCATCGGTCGCCTCCCATTGCGCGCCTTATTGACAGAGCGCACGGGCGGCGCGCCGGCGCGACGCTCTGGCGGCGCACCGTTAGCTTGCTAATGAATTTCCGCGCGGACCGCGTGCGGGGCGCCCGTCCGGCGCGCGCTTTTTCAGATTGACGGATGAGGGAAGCGCGGGCGGCCGCGGGCGGGGACGCGGAGAGCAGGCAAGGGGAGGCGGACAGCCAGCGAGGAGATAGCGGAATTAAATCAAACGCGTCACCAGCCGCGGAATGCGATGCATGGCGGGAGGTGCGGTGGAGGGTTTCGCACGTGAGACGCAAAAACAGTGTAATAAATGGAAAAGGATCGTGCAGGGCTCCCTGAGGAGCCGTCTGGCATTCGCGGCGGATCGATGCGAGACGCGCCGGTCGAGGCCGGTCGCGGGCGGCCGCTCCCCCGCGCCGGCAACGCTGCCGACACTCCCTGATAGCCCAGCCCGACCCTCGCGGTGCCGTGGCGACCTTGGCGTCGGTCCGTCCCGAGGCCGACGCAAACCGCGCGCGCCGGAAACGCCGCTGACGGCGCGGGCCGCGCCGGAAACGTGCGTCGCGCCGCGAACGTCGGAGAATCGCCGGAAACGGCGCACGGAAGGAATGTTTAAAGGGACGGATCGCCTGTCGTGGGGTTTTACTGGGCTTGATCGTTGCTGAGATAAAATGACGAAAAACGGTCGATGCTCCTTATGTCAGGGAAATAGCTGAAGTTTGACGCTGTAACTTGTCATTCTTATTAAGCTCAATCGCGATGAGATTGTCCCAACGAAACTGTTTTCGGGGCTTTCGCACACGTGGTGTTGAAAAGCTGGCCTGATACTCCGTTCAAGGCGTAGAGAAGAGCAAGTAGAACTAGAGAGAGAGAGACTCGTAAAGATGTAAGTGATACGATTTGTTATTCTTTTAATTTTGCAACTACCTCATCTCTCATACTTCTGCTCCACACATGGAAAAGTTTACAACAGGACTCAAAAGTTATACCTACTGCTCGTAAAACAACTCATACCTACATGGCGAACGTTGAGTTAGCCAAAGTAACCACCCCTGTCGACCGTGATCCCTTCGCTAATTTGTGCGATCAGTCATATGCTTTTCGGTACTTAATCAAATTACGCTTGGGCAATAAATCTAACCGTTTGTCCCTGCGGCTGCTCGTGGTATAGGCTGCGCACGTTCGCCTCCGGAAGAGCACCCACGCTCAGCATGTACCACGCCACTTTCACCTGACCTGAGGTCGACCTCTGACTCAGCAGCGGTCCCGACGCTCCTCCACCAGGACGGGGGCCGCCGCGTTGGGGTTGAGGGGAGGGAATGGGGTGAAGCCAGGCCGTTTACATCTCCTCTCGCCACTACGCTAGCCCTCTGTCTCCACGCGCCAGGTGTAAATGAAGACGCATTCTAGCAATCCGCACTATAGCACGTGCCACCTCGGGTCGTATCTGGACCTTGTGTACGATCGGCGAGGACTGCGCAAGACGCAACACCCTGATCGCGGTGGAGCCGCTGCGCTGTCAGCATTACTTGCATCGGTCGCTGCATTTGTGTTTGTGTTTAATTCATTCAGGGTTCATTTTTGGCATTCTAGCCACATTTCCACCCAAAGGTAACCGCAAAGCCTCACTCCGCGACCCTCTCCCAAGAGCTGCTCCTCTCCCGCTTTTCCAGCCTGAGTGCCGAATCCACCGTTTCGACCGACCGATCCAGGTAGCCACAGTGACACCGCCTTTTCTCGGGCCGGCCCTGCCCGGACGGCACCATCATCTCCCCGGCGCCCCCCGGTGTTCCAGCTGATAATATACGGCCGCGTCCTGGTTTAATTTGTCGTTATTCATCGGACCACCCTGCCGTATCTGTCAAGTGTAGCGCCATTGCTCAGCGGCCGGGCGCGCCAGACCTGCCTCGGGCGGCCGCTGCAGCGCCGCGTCGGCCGCCAGCAGCTGACGCCGCGCGGCGGCCGCGGCGGCCGGCCCCGCCCCTGCGCCGGGCCGGGTCGGCCTGCGCGATAACGAGCCAGGTCAGGCGGCGCGGCAGTGATCCACGGCCCGCCGCGCGGCGACAGCCCGGCTGCCGCGGCGCCTGATTGGAGCAGCGCCGGTCATCTGCGCGCTAACGATGATTTAATGGCCGCGTATCCGGCCGCGCGGCAACCGGATCGCCACGACGGTCACGGCGCAATCGGATAATGGCGCGTCGCCCGCCCGCGCTCGCCCCCGGGCGGCGGGCCGGCCGCCGTGGGCGCAGGCCGCAGTCAGGCTGAGGGTGACGTCACGGGACAATGGCGCCTGTCAGCCTGTCGTGCGCCTCCCGATCCGGCCTGGCAAGCAGCCAGGCTGATACCAGCGTTCGCGGTATGGCCCGCCGGGAATATCGGTCAGCGCGCGTGTCCTCTGTGCGGACAAAGGTCGGAGCCGAGTTCGGACCCGGGTCGATCCGCTCCTCCTCGCTGCACCTAATTATCCCGGTTCTTCAACTCCCAGAGCATGCAAAGTGGGGCTTCTGGAAGTGATTTGGCGCGGCTCGGCCGACTCCGCACTGGGAGAACTCGGTTCGCACTCGTCTGGAGACGGCGCCTGCTTTTGAAGTCATCTTTTGATGGCGGATCTGGCGGATCAAGGCGGTCGCCGACGCACGGGATGTGGGCCGCTCTGATGACATACGCGGCGTACCTCGAGCTGCGTCGAGCCGTCCCGCCATCCGTCCTGCCCGCCCCTCCCCGTCCGCTCGGGCGCCCCCGGCGGCGGCGACGGTACGGAGTCCGCACGTGCCTTCTGTTCTCCCGGTCACGGCGCGAGACGGTGTGCCTCCTGCCCCTCCCTTCTCCTGTCGGGACACGTGGGAGGGGGAGGGGCGGGGGGACGCACCGTCTGTCCAATTAGTGGGCCTCATTGGCAGGGAATGCGCGTGCCACCGTCGGCGCGCGGCTTATCTCCCAAGCGCTGCGGCGACGCGTTGTGTTCTGCGGGGGCGTGTGGTGGGAAGTCGCATTGTCTGATGCCGCGCAAGGCGGGGTGTGTGCGGTGCGTCTCGGGAGCAGGTGGGGACGACAGTGTGTGATATTTGCACAGTCTTTGGTCCGATGCAGTGGCGATCACGTTGAGTGGAGCCTGCCGTTTTTTAAGCTTTTTTCACGAGTCAAAAGCTGATTCAGAGGTAGGTTTTCTGTCGAGGTTATGCAGACAAGCAATAGTGTGTCACTTCCGCAGTTTTCCGGTCAGCTTATGGTGCTATAACGCCACTGGGAGGCTACTCTCATAAGTCTAGCGTTTATGACACAATTGACCAGTTATGCCCATGCTGAATTACAAACACTGTAGAAATACTTCAGCCAAAGTAACGTATGGTTGACAAAACAAAACCGTAACAAATATGGACCAGGGGACTCAACAAATAAAGCAAGAACGATTGCGTCATTGCAGGTGACAAGCTCCGTGTTTGACTTATCATAGCATGGTGGAAAACGTCTTTTCATTGTTACACCCAAGCCAGTTGTTTTTATTCTAAGAGACATACATTTTTCACTTTTTTACCCATTGTGCGTTCAAGGGAGTGTTTCACATTTGCGTGGGGTTTTGAACTGAAACAGCCATCTTGAAGGTCATTTAGTGCGATTAACAGCCCTATCTTCTTAAGACCTAAACCGCTTTAGTTTCTAAGCTTTACGCCCGCGAAGATGTACAGGCTATTTTGGGAAGACTGTTTCAAGATCACCCAGGCATCCATGACGCCAGAATGACATCATTCAAATTTTGTCGTTCTATTTAGTCAGGCGGCGACTAAGGCCAAGACAATATAATTATCGAATCGTTCATATGCGACGTTCGTGTGCACGATTTCCCGACATAACAGCCTCCAACTGGCTATCAATCAATGTTGTGCATGGTGTGATGACATAATCAAACAATAATGAACTGAGGAGCATATTTACTAAACAGAGACATTGTGAATATACTAAACAGAGAAGTTACGCTGTCTAGAGCAGTCTTTTCCATTTAAAAGTATACCAAAGGCTATAAGTGAGCTTATTTCATCATAGCTGATGCCTGCTTCATCATCTTCAAATGCAGAACATTCCTTTTAAAACATAAGGCAGCGTGACACATCCATTATGGGTGCAATATGACCTTTGATGTCGGCGCGCCCTAAAACCTCAAATCATCGCCATCCAGACTCTGTGAGTTTTGCTTATGTACATTCGAAACGATTTGAGCACATCGAACCTATTTTCAAGCTGCAGCGATCGGCAGCATTGGGAATCTCCTGGTGTGGTGCACGGACGTGCTTGAAGATCCCGCTGTGTGGGCAGACCATTCGAGGGCCGTAAATGCCATGCTGTCAAAGGGTTGCTGCCATCAGCCTTGCAGCCGTGACCACCGGTCTCTGGACGGCGTCGTGGGCGTTCTTTTTTCGCCCCGTTACTCGGTGATTTATTGTCGAGCCTGCAGAGTGTGACTTCCACCACGGCCAGGCGTTGATGAGTCCTGCGTGGGTCTCAAGTGTTCGGCGCTTGATTAAGCCTTTCTTCGCTGTGCGTTGAGAGCAAGGCCGCGGTGGTTTATGACACGTCCAGCCCCACTAGTATAAACTGGCCATCGGCTGTCGTAAACTGCGGTCGTATCCATTAAATTACACATCAATTGAAATTACCCAATTTACGGCTGCTATGAAACCGGTCACGGTAAGATGAAAAATACCGCCGGCAAAAAATGGCGGCAGATCTGGGGATAACCACGGACGACGCGGCGCGAACCGGTTCGGCGTGCGAGAGGAGTGGATCGCTCGCCAGTGGCGGCAAAGTCTCGCCTGGGCGGTCCGGCAGGCAGCGCCATCTCGGGGAGTGGCCGGCAGCTGACCGCCGGCGGTCCGGAACACGCCGGACCGCCGCCGGACCGCCGCCAGACTGCCGGTAGACCGCCGGCGAGCGGCGAGCGGCGAGCGAAAGTAACAGCCGGCCGGGGGTGCCGCCGCGGCGCATCCTCGCGCCGACGCCTCCCAGAGAGGCGTCATTAGACCTGCGCGGCCGCTCTCAAGGCGCGCGCCGAGCGCGGCGCCGGCGGCGGCCCAGGTGCCGCACGGCCGCCGCGGCCGCCGCCTCAAGTACCACCTGCCACCGCGGATCGCCGGCGCGCCGTCCCCGGGGACTGTGGACGGCGTGTTTGTCGGCGGCGAGGGCGGAAACGCGGCCGAGGCGCGGATAAACAAAGTGAGAGGACGGACGATGGACCGCGACAGCCCCGGGCCGGCCGCGTCGACGGCGCGACTGCGGCCGCTCACCTGCAGCTGAGGTGACACTGTCCAGCGGTGTGACGGTTCCAGCAGCGCCAGGGTGTAATCAGCTGTCTTCGACGTGCCCCCAATAACAGCTGACTGGACCCGGAAGCGTCCACAGCGAACACGCACCGGAACAGTTTCTCCCCTCCTGTGTGGACGTCTGCTCGGACGGCTGCTGGCCGGACAGGCGCGGACTGGACCGGAGCGGAGGCGACCTGGACAGCCGCACGCCGGCGGCGGCGACCCGGCCGCCGGCCCGGCGGGGTCAGCCGAGGGCGCGCGGCTGCAGCGCGCCGCCGCGCGCGGCCGGCTCTGTAATTAGCCGGCCGTCGAGCGGCGCGAGCTGCAGGACGCCGCGCCGCGCGGGTCGCCGGCCGGCCGGCCTCACACCGCCGCGGCCGCCGGCGGGCGCGGGAAGCCGGCGCAAATTACACACCGCTAATGATATTATGGAGATGAGCCGGTGACCGGCGGCGGCGGTTAGCCGGCAGCCGGCGGCGGCGGCCAGTCAGCCCGCCGCCGCCGGCCGGCCCGGCGACAGTCGCACCCGGCTTTTATGGCCGCTCATTGCACGCGAGCCGGCCGCCCGCCTTGTTGGGAAGCGGAGGGAGGGAGGCGAAATGGGTGGACAAGTCCGGAGGCGAATAGCTGGCCCCGGGCGCCAGAGGATGTCGTTTGCTACATTAGTGGCGGTTGCGTCTCAAGTGAGCGTGGTCGAGTAGGCGCTGCCGGCGCTCATTTGCGGATGCGTCGATTCCGGTAATTTTCTTAGCGTTCGCTTGTACGGAATACGGTATTGTGCACTGAGCGAGACTTTGAAGCGAGCTCATGTGTTCATATTGCTGATGTGCGCGTTTTTCTGATCACGACTCAACGGTCTGATTGACCAGTTAAGCTGTCAGAGATTCCGAGCAACCATTCGTTACAAAGTGCGCGCGCTTGTCGTTCCCTGGGCAGTTCAATTTGTCAAACCCAGGTGGAGCAAACCAGCATCCGGTTCTCTCCAGTTTTGTCCAAACACATCGTCATAAAATTTTCGTTGGCACCGCTCGGCCAATCCCGGCACGCGATACATGGCAGATGAAATGGGAAGCAATCAGACTGAAGCCGTGACCGGGGCCCAAGTTAGCCTGGGACATAGTCACGGGGCACCTTTACAGCGGACCACCAGCGTTTGCCAGCGTACGCGACCGATCCGCAGCCTGCCGGCGATGAAGGGCACGCTTCTTGGCAGCGAGACGTGCATAACCCAAATCTGCTGGATGGTTCAGAAGTCAACAACGGCTGGGATTTGTCTGCCGGAATGCACTTTGCGATGCAAGCACCAGTACGGTTGTCTTTCGGTCTGTTTTCCTGCGTGCAGGTGCCGGAGAGGCGCCATCCCACGCCGAATGTCGGCTTCGCCCGACGCTGCGCCACTTACTGTGCGTGCCGGCGCCGGTTGAGCCGCGTTCCCCTCTCGTTGGCTGACGACCGCTGGTGCCTGCGTGGCTGTCGTGACGCGCGTCGTCCCTGTTGGCAGGCGCTGGTGGTGTCTCCGGAGCTGGGGCGGCAGTACGAGTCGATCCCCGTGGACCCCGGCAGTCCGATCGGCGCTGACCTGCGCATGGCGCCCGGAGGAGACTTCGTCTACGTGCTCTCCACACAGAAGGTAATCCACTTCGGTGACATGCCGGCTTCAGTGATGTGCAACTTATGATCTTGCCTTTATGACGTGTAGTCTTTTGACCCGTATCATTGCTGAAGTGTATGTCGTTAAGGCGGCCCAATTTGCAAGAAGTCCAGGTGTGCGTCATGAACAACTGGAGTTTGTCTTCACAACCTTGATGATGTTGCATCCATCACTTCCCATCATTGGTGGAGCTTCTACATATGTGAAGGCTCCCAATGTTTGAGTACTGAAATGTCTGCATTTGGGTGCCGTGTGGAAATGAGGAACCTCAAAGTCTTTCGTGCGCCCTCAATATTTTGAGCGAATCTTACCTCTGCCGCCCAGTGTCGTCTCCCATCCAGTCACCCTCACACCGCTGCTCCCTATCATCACCCCCCCCCCCCCCCCACGCGCCCACCAGTCTCCCGCACCGCAGACAGACCCGCCGGGCAGCGAACGTCTAGCCGCCTCTCGTCAGCCCGCCAGCTGTGCCAGCCTCCAGCACCAGCACCTGGACGGCGCCGTACTGCCGCACTCTCCCTCTCCTCTCCTCTCACTCTCCCTCTCCTCCAGCCCGCTGACGTGTCACATCCGAGCCCTGCCCCCCTCCCCCCGCACCCAGCCCCGAGCCCCCCCCCCCGAGCCCCCCCCCGCACCCAGCCCCGAGCCCTGCCCCCCCCCCCCCGCACCCAGCACTTGCCGGCGTACGCCCTCCATGCAGCCGCCTCAACTGGCTGTAGAGGAGGCGTCGCCTCGTCGGGCCTTACGGCGGCCAGGCATGCCACGGCGGACGCCGAGCCCCGCCATATGGCGAGCCGGCCGCCGCGAGCCGGCGGCGCTGTACGCTGTGTGAAGGGGGCGCACGGCGGACCGCTGGGCGTGTCACTGGCTCGCCCGCCCGGCCGAGTTGGACATTCGGTCGCCTCGTGTTGCAGCTGTCTCGGTTCTCGGCGGCGAGGGCCGGTGAGCCGGAGCGGTCAAATTTGCATTTTGCACGGTCGGGCGGCCGCGGCGGCTTGGCGTGATTTCTGCGGGCGTGCCCGTGGCACGCGCAAGGCCGCGCCTTAATTCACTCGACCCTGCTCGGGGCACGTCCGAAGCTGGGCAGCCCAGCCCCGTTAGAGGAGTCCCCGACCCGCGCTCCGCGGCCGGGAACCCGGCGGCATTATCGCGAGTCGCGGGAAACCACGTCTGGTCTGCGGCCGCCCCGTCCGGCCACTTCCCGTCAACAGGCCGACGAGGCTTACCGCATCTCATGACGCGACGCGGTCGTAAAAACGGCGGAGCTCGGGCGCGGCGGCGGAGCCCCCTGGCAGACGTGGCGTGGGCGTTCGCGGGCGCCGGGCCCGTAGCGTCTGCATCATGCCCGCGATGTGCACTGCCTTCGACTGCGGGGAGCCGCGTGAGCAGGAGCCTGCCGTGTGTCCAGGCCTCTCTGTCCCTGTCCGGCAGCCGGGCGATGACGTCGGCACACCTGCTCCTCACGGCCTGCGGCAGCCACCGTGTCCCTCTGCTCAGAGACCCCGTGCGCTCTGCACCAGCGTGCACCGCGCCGCCGCCAGCCCGCCTCAGGGGCAGCGCACGTGGCGCCGGCGGCGGCGGCGAGGGCCCGCGGCGGCGCGGCGGCGCGACGAGGCGCCAGCACTGGCGCGCGGCGCCGGCCGGCCGCCGCAGCCGCGTTGTCCGCCGTTCTGGCATCAGCGCGGATGCGCCGCCGCTGCATAGCAATGAGCGGCGGTCGCCGATCGGGTCGGTCTGATCGCGGCCAGCACTCTGCATGCGCCGCCGCGTCGGATCGGCCGATAGCGGGCGCCACGGCACTGATGACGGCCGCGCCACTGATGACGGCGCGACGGCGGGCGGGTGGGGCGCCGCCGTCCGGGCCGCTCGAGACGCGGCGAGGCGGCCGACACGCACCCGCCGGCTGGGTGCTGCCGGTCGGCCGCTGCACCCCGCCAGGTTCCGTGCGGCAGACACCGGCGCGGCTGGCGCATCCTGCCTGATGCCGTGCACCAGGCCGGTGATTTAGCCGTGCAGCCGCTGCAGCGGATTCGCTGCTCGTGCGGCGCCGTGATGAACTGTCCGACCAAGTGGTCCGCAGTCTCGTGGCGGATGCCGTCCGCCGCATCCGTCTGTTTTCCGAGCCGTCGGCTCGGCGGCGGCCGGCGGCGCGCGCCACGTAATCCACCGCACAGAGCCGCGCTTGTTATTTCAAGCAGGCCTCCTCATATCGCCTCCGGGGACGGCGCGAGCGGCCGCGGGGAGCGCGAGGGTGAGGGTTTATCACAGACGCGACGGCCGTAAACGTGGCCGCTGCTGTTAGCGGGGAGTGCGTGCGCGGCCCGGGGCCTGTTAGCGGTAAGGGTCCCGGCACCGTGGTCTGTTCGGGAGTGTGTTCGGTTCAGGCTCGCCGCAGCTGGACAGTCCGCCATGAAGGGCGCCTCTGTCCGGGCGCGCTGCACGCCCGTCGCAGGGCCCGCGTCTTCGCCGCCTGCACACCGCGGCCGCCTGTCTGCCGGGCCTATCCCTCCACCCTTGTTCACATGATAAATTCGCCGAGCGCTCACAATGAGCCTTTTATGCGCCCGGTCAGGCTGCACGAGACTGAAATAAGCGCGCTCCCATAGCCAGACGCCGGCATAATTGGCGGTCTGGCCGGCCGGGCCGCCGCTGCCTGCTCGGCAAACAAACCCCGTCTCCGCCGCCAGCCGAGGCCGCGCCATACAGCCGGTGCCGGCCGGGCGGCTGGCATTGAGACTCCTCGCCGACGCCGACCCTCGATTGGCGAGAAATCAGGCCTGAACGGACGCCGAGTTTCCGCCGCTTTGTTGAGATTCGCACGCGTGCTGCGACACCCACATTGAAATTTGATTAGTTTCGGGGCGGTTCGGGGCACAAAGGCAGATACGGACTGTGCCCGGAGTCCCATTCGTCCCATTATGCCGGGTCGGCACCGACTTATTTATCGCCCATTCGACCCTTGTTACGTTCCTTTGGTGTTTTCTCGCCGGCAGCATTCCTCCGTCCATACCTGGGGTGCGGGCCGCGTTTAGGTATAAATTAGTCCGGCTGAACGTGTAACTAAGAGCTCCATTACCCGACCTGCACGTTGGGCTGTCCAATAGTTTAGAAGCGCGAGCCAGGTGGGCCGAGGGGTGGCTGTGTTCCCGCGGCGCGGCCGGCCGGGCGGGCGGGCCGCCGGCGCTAGACGGCCCGCCGGCCGGCCCGCCCGCCGCCACCCGCCGCTGCCGCCGCCGGCGTGGCCCTGCCCGGCCGGCCCGGCCGGACCGAAGCCAGAGTCGGAGCTGCGAACCGGAGCCGCAGCCGGTCACGGCGCAATTCATCCGCGGGATTGATTCGACGTGATCGGTGTTGGCTACCATTGGCTGTGACGGCTGCTGACCGACGCCACTGCCAGGGGCATGACGTCACGGCGTGAGGGTCGGCACCGGTGGCCCGTGGTCGCCCCCCGAGCCTTCGGCCCTGGCTGCGCCTTGTTATGGCGAGTGACAGCCAGTTCGTGTCATGAAGATTGACTGGATGGGACCTCTGACCCTGTCTGTCGCGCCGCTCTGGCGTTTCCCGGGGAGGGGAGGGACGAGGGCCATTCGAGTGGCACTGGCCAGTGAGGGGTAGCTTATGGGTATGGGTTTGGAAAGCCTGGAGCGAGCGTAAATCGGGACGCGTAGGAGCTCCGGTTCCTCGTCACGTATGATAGGCTCCGTCCTGATTCCATCTGGTGAAGAAGGCGCGGGGGCAGGGGGGGGGGGCGGTAAATCGGTCCCCGTCTGGTGCTCCGTTTTTACTCGGGCGCGTCGTCCTGAAAGGGATCCCTGCGCGCGCCCAGCTGGAGGTGGAAAAACACGCCTCACTAGCGCCGTATGCCGCCTTTGTCGGGCGTTGCTCAGGGCCGCGTCGGACGCACGGCGGCGAGCTCAGACGGGACCGGACCGGACCGGACCGGACCGGACGTGCTGCGATGCGGCGGAATCCCGGACGGCCCGGCGGTGACAGCTGTCGGCGCTTCAGAACGAGCTGGGCCGTCAACGTGCGGCGACCCGCCAGCTGAATCGGTCGCGATCCGCAGGAAAAACGACCGCCTGATCGCCGCGGGCGGCCGCAAAGAGGCCGCTTTTTACCGCCGCTCAGGCTGGCCCGTTTGATTTTTCACATTGGTTAAGCGGCGGGGCCGAGACGGCATTGTTTTTGCGCGGGTTCCCATGCCTGGCTCGCCGCGGTCGCGGCTAAGCGACCGGGAGGAAGCCGCCGAGTCTCCACTTCCTGCCGCCCCACCCCGCCCGGCCCAGATGGTGGCCGACTAATTTGTTTATGAATCGGTGATTGCCTCGCGTCGTGTTTTCACTTTCGGCGCCGGGGAAAGCGCGTGCACGGGCCAGGCTCTAAAAGCTAATTTGTAGCGGGAAAATCCCGTGCTCCGCGGGGCGCGCGGCCGGCGCGGGCCGGGTCGACAGGCCCGAGCTAGGGGTCGCGGCCAGCCGACCCGCCCGCTGGCCCGCCCGCTGCCCTCCGTGCTCCTGCCACCGGCCGCCGCGGGCCAGCGGTCAATGGGAGCCGAGGATGAATCAGCATCAGCCGGAGCGCGGCGTGACCGGCGCGGCGCGCGCATTGCTCCACAGAAAGTGAATGCCAAGTCGGCCGACTAATTTGTCAGAGCTGACCTGTGAGGCAACGCCGCCGAGGCCGCGCCGCCGGCCGCCCGGCCAGGTCGGGGGTCAGGCGCGTGCCGCGCTGCGGCCCCAGCGCCGCGGCCGGCGCCGCTGGGCGTCCGGCTTGGGCGCGTGGCGGCGCCGCGGACGGCCTCGCCGGCGCCTCGTAACGTATTGGGTCAGTCACGCCAGGCCGTCGGAGTCGCCTCGCCCGTCAGCTCCCCAGCCAGCTCACCCGCCAGCTCCCCCGCCAGCTCGCCCCCGTCACCTCACCCGCCCGTCAGTTTAATCGCGTCGGCTCAACCCGCCCCTTTTCACCTCTCCTCACCTCACGCACCTCACCTCATCTCACCTCACCTGACCTCGCCCCGCCTCACCTCATCTCACCTCACCTCACCTCTCCTCACCCGCCATCTCACGCCACCCGGTCAGCTCATCGCCCCGCTTTGGTTCCAGGTGTCGAAGGTGCGCGTGCAGACGTGCGAGATGTACACGGACTGCACGGCGTGCCTGGGCTCGGGCGACCCGTACTGCGGCTGGTGCTCACTCGAGAAGAGGTAGGTGCTCACCGCCGGAAGCGAGCCGCGCGGCGGAGGCGGCGGCCTTCCCGGTAATCCGACGGAACAAAGCGGCCCGGCGCCGGCGCCGACGTCGGCGCCGAGAGGTGATGCGATTAGACACTCTGCAGGACCACCTGCAAGGTGTCCGCGGGTTCCCGACCGGGCGCCGTGCACGGACGCCTCACGCCGGCGCCGGGGACAGTGCATGCCTCAGTGCACAGGATCGCCGGTAGATCGCTGACACTGACAGACAGACTGATCCTGGAGTCGGCCCCACACATCCGCGTGATGTCGTGACTGTGTGCAGGGCGATGACAGGGACCACCATGGGAGCAGCCGCACCAGCCGGCTTCCATCAGCCGCTGCTCGGGCAGCCTGGGACGGCATCAGAACGCGGTCGGTCGTGTTTGACGCCGCGCGCGCGGCGGCGGATCGGCCGGGGAACTTTCGCCCTGATTGGTCGCGACATCCGCTCCGGGCGCGGCGTGAGACAGCGGTGGAAAGCCACCGACGCGACGTGTCGCTCCGAACGCATCCTTCACGGCTGAGCGGCGTGCTGGTGCCCCGCCCCAGCGGCCCTCCGCGGACCATATCCTGTCTACATGCGTATTTACCAGCTGATGCGTTGATGCCAGAGTCGCAACTGTTCCCAAAATGTCAACACGCTTCTCGCCGCGTCACGACCAGTGAGGGATCCAGCCAGAGGAGGTGTAGCGTGCTATTGCGATGATCCGGCATGCCAATCAGCAGATATTAGTTTAAATATAATCCATATTTTTACAAATATTTTCTTATGTTACATCAATGCTGTACATGCACATAAAGTATGTTGTCATTGCCGTGAAGTGCGAATCTTAAACATTGCATTGCTCTTAATGTTCAGTAACACGTGGAGATCTGGCGGGTCAAGTGTGTCTTTTCCAGTTGATCCGTGCTGGTGGTCATTAGTACACCCGTCATGGCGCCTGATGCATGTAGGGAAATGGGCCGACGTCCTAGGGAGATACGCATTTCCATCGGCCGCCATGTCCCCGCGCACCTCGTCCGGGCGTCGCCCGCCGTGCATCGCCGCCGATGCGCCGCCGATGCCGACGCATCGGCCGCGCGCCCGCCTGACAGCCGGTGACAAATTGTGCCGGCTGGAGAAATGGGGCGCTCGGGTTGTCGGTCGGCGCTGCGGTCGGGTCGTTCCTCATCGGGCCGGTCAGCCGAGCGCGCCGGCCTCCTCTGACATATAGACCGGCCCCGAGCGGCCGCAGGGGGGGGGGGGGGGGCGGCCAACTTTCACCCGTTACGCTGGGGAATGACCGCGCCTCGCGCGCGCCGCACTCGAGCGGGCGATTCAATTAGCAGCGGCGCCGTTTCAATGGGGAGAAATGAAACTGGCATCAGCGCCAAGCGATGATTTCATATAGGCGAGACGTTGACAGGGCGGCGGTGATATACGGCTGCTCGGACGGAGACGGTTCGCTGGGAGTCCAGACGAGCGGCACGCGCCCTGCGAGCCGACCCGGGCGGGGCTGGAGCCGATCCGCCGACCGATTGCATGGTCCGAAGGAGCAGTGAGCGCCGCTGCAAGGGCTCGCGGATTTTGTGACCGGTGGAAATGCGGACGGGCAGATCAGGCGGGCGGAAACTGGTTCTTAAGTGACTTCTGTAGTACCCGAGGATTACGAATGCTGTGTGGTGCACGCAGAGCGCGCCACGCCGTTGAACCTGTTACCATTCCTGCGCAGTGTGGCGTCCAGTAAGTTATCAGACGAAGATTGACAACCAGCCAGCCATGTCACATGCCTCGTGCCACCTAAATCATCGCACAGCGCCCTGTGGCCATACATGGCCCGATTCCGCTCAGAGTCACGCACGGCCGGCGGTCTCAAACGAGCCGTCGCAATCGGTGACGTCAGACCTGATCGCTGCCAGCCGCCTCCGCCGCCAATGGACGACGCTACCGTGGGCCCGGAGACAGGGGGGGGGGGGGGGGGGGCAGCCGCACTCGAGTAGGCACGGCGTGAGCGGCGTTTGATCAGCCTGAGTCCTTTTGCAGCGTTGCCGTCGACTGCGACGACTTCCAAGTCGGTTCGGCCGTTGATGCTCAATGTCCGGGGTGGGGGAGGGGGCTGCTGCTGCCTGCAGGTTTGCTCCCACAGCAGGCGGCTCCTGCTGTCGATGGCGGTCGGCCTTTCAGGTGACTCGAAGTCGGGTTCGACCGTCGGTGCCCAGTCGGAAACTGCTGGGGTCGGGTGGAGCTTCGCCGTCCCTGCGGAAGACTCCGGGCCGAGATGGCCGCCCCTCCCGCCGTGTGGCTTCGGGCCGCGTAAGCCGGCTGTCCCCGGCGGCTAGCCCGCCTCCGCTAGTTCCGAATCTTGCCGGCGACGGCGCCACCGCCCGCGTCGTCCCACCCGGCCGCCGGGCGTCGGGGGCTTCGGCCCTCGATCCGCTGTTGGACCAATGTGCCACTGCCGGCTTCGTTCCAATCGGTGGTAGATTATCGGACCGGCCGCGGGGCAGGGCGCGTCTCGCGGATTCCTGCGCGCGGCCCGCGCCGGCACGCGCTCTCGAAGCGGCCGGCGTCGGCGTGCGCGGATTCCTCGCGTCATTAATGCGTGGTGGTCAGCAGATGTCGGACGGAACAAAGAGCCGGCCGGCCGCTTTTTCAATGAGCAGGCCGAATTAGCCGCTCCCCTATTATTAAATTAGTACTAACCACCTGTCGGACCGGCCGGGCTGCAGTCACCTGTCCTCCCGCCTCCCCTGATGACCGGAGATGGGCATGGCCCGACCTGTGGTTAACGCGACCGCAGAAGGGGAGCATGGGTACCCTGGCTCGCGTTACAGACGCAGCCGGTCATTTTCTCCCGGAAGAGTAGCTGGATATTCATGTCGCGCAGGCTTAACGTCATCCCTCGTACCATCATCACGTAGAGGCGAGTCTTGCTTGTGTCACGTCGTAGCGCCGTAGCGCAACGCTCTCGTGGCGCTCTTCATTTCGCGGCCCGATGCGCTTCACTGCTTTGGCGTGCAGAGCGGAGCAATCGAGCCCGCCGCCGATCATCTGCGTAGCTTTGCCGGCGATTTTTCTCTCACGACGCTGAGCCCGCTGCACGCCGCCATTTTCCAGCCGCTGTTCCGCTCTGATGGAAACAGCGCGAGAAGCCATCATCGCGACAACGGGGCGGGTGCCAGACCATCGCGAAAGATGGGCGGCGGGCCGGGCGCCACCTGGACCCGCTCACCCCCTCCCCACTCCCCAGCCCGGCGGAGCGCCGCGCCTCGCGCACTCTCGCTGGGGCCAGATCTCGAAAGGCGCCGGGCCGCCGCGACCGGCGAGTCACGCAGCACAAGGTTGGTGATAACGATCTGGATGACTCGGGCTTAGCTGTCCTCGCTTGGGTGCGCCGGCGCTGGGCATTTGGCCGACGGCCGGCGCCGTCCCCTCTCTCCCTCTCCGCCGCCGCCACCGCCGCCGCCGCCGCCGCCACCGTGGCTACGGCCGAAATCTCCTCCCTAAACCTACAGCTCAAATTACCGACGAACTTGGCGGATTATGCGCCGAGCTGGGAAATGCAAATGACATTAATGGTAAACAAATTTCATCCGCGCTCTGCGCCTAAGTGTCGTGCAATCTGGATTTATGTGCGGGGGGATTCGTTTTATGCGGCGTCTATTTGCTGGCCGAAAGCGGGTGCTGGCGCTGCTGTCGGCGCTTCCCCAATTGGGCCGGCGGTGCGGCCGTCGCCTTCGTCTGGCGTCTGTCGGCGCGTCGAGCTCGGGAAGGGAGCTTGCGCCTTCTGGGAGCCTTAGCTTTCCGGACGGACCTGCAGCAGAGCACCGCATAGCGCTGCCTGGGCCCGCGGCGACCCCGCGCCGCCCGGGCCCGCGGTGACCCCGCGCCGCCCGGGCCCGCGCCGACCCCGCGCCGCGGCGCCGCTCCAGCGGGCGGCGCCGCGGCGGGCCATAGCCTTGGCTGGTGCGGTTTTACGGCCGTGGCGCGGTGATTCGTCGGCGGACGGAGCGTCGTCGTCGCCGACGCGCCGCTGCGTGTCGCCTCGGATCCCGGCGCGGGCCATTTGCATAACGTCATTACTTTTCAACAGAGCCGGCACAATCAATACCGGCCGCTCGCGGCGCGTGCGATCTAGTTTAGCGGCTGGAGCGCGACTGATGGGTGATGGGTGGCCCGCCCGCCCCTGCCCGCCGCAGTGGGGTGTGGTGGGGCAGGTGCGGTTTGCTGCCCGGGCAGGGGCAGGGGCGGGTGCAGGGGCTCGGTGGTGGCGTCCTCGCCGCGGGCGCGGCCGGCGCCGTGGCACTGCCCAGCTTGCCTGTCGCCGGCTGTCGGTCCGACGATGGCGGCGTGGGCGGTCCCTCGACGCCGAAACTTGTGGACCAGCCAAGTGGATGGGCTGTTGAGTGACAATTTTTGACAGTTTGGCCCATGTCCGCACTGAGCCAGATCGGCTCCTTGGACTGTGACGTCGGTTAATCTGAGAAGTGACCGGGCTTGTGTCCGAGTTCAAGGACCTTGAGTTCGGGTCCGAGGCCGAGGCTTGGGTCCGATCCCGGGGTCCCACACTCTCCTATCGCTGGGGTCCGGATCCGGGCGCGGTCGGTTCCACGGCTCATAAGTGCGACTGCGAGTTCGGACCGTTCGTGTCAGATGCTGGGTCAGATGTCGGGTCAGAGTTGGGGTCGAGTGCGAAGTTTGGGTCGGAGACCATCGGTCTGGAACAGTATTGCATAAGGCAAGAAAAGAAAAGAAAAACTCAGAAATAGAGATCGCCGAGGATTAGGTGCAGCAAGATAACCTCGCGCCGACCTAATCTTACCTTAACTTAAAATAACCAGTGGCTTATTAAACGTCTTATCTGGAAGCCGTTGCAGTGCATACGGAAATATGGGGCACCTGAAGACAGTTTTCGTGTTTTGCCGCCTTCACGAAACTTTGATGGCCGATATAACATGGCGCTTAACCCAGCCAAAACTAATTCAACTGAGCTGAACTCATCCCAGCCTAAACAAACCCAGCCGAAACCAACCAAAGCGAACCTGATCTGCTCCCCCAATGCAAGCGATTGGATACGCAAATAGCTACCCATATGCTTCACATTAAACTGTCTAGGATATTGTATTTTGGCATCAGAATGTGCCCTCCCGCTTGGATTCAAACTTGAACAAGGATCACAGTTTGGCCGAAATCCTAGGTTTGGATATATGTTAAGCCCCAGTCCGAGACTGGGTCCCGGTGTTTTCAATTTCAGCGTTAGTTGTAGTTTGTAGCATTTGTTACCGGTGCGTCTGGGCGTGTGTCCAAGTCCTCCGTAGAATGACTCAGTGTACTCGACCCCGAGTCCGAGTCAGCGTGGCTCGGACGCACGGCTGGCAGTCACGGCCTGCGGGGCCCCGCGGGGGCCTGCGGGGCCCACGGGGGCCTACGGGGCCTGCGGGGCCTACAAGAGGGGGGGGGGGGCCTGCGGGGCTTACGGGGACCTGCGCGCGCTCTCAGCCGCGCGGGTGACCTCCGCCGTCGCGATCCTGGCTTCTGCGGGCCGCGGAGAGCTGGGGCGTCTGGGAGCCAGCTGCCTTCGCTCCGCCGATCCGTCGGTAATTGCTCAGCCATTCTCAGTATAAGAGCGTGGTCGGTTCAGGCTGTGTAAGTTTGTGGCGTCCCGGCTGGGCTTCAAAACTAGCGCTCAAAGTCCCCATTAAATTGTAAAACTCCCGACAAACACGGAAAGCAGATTGCTGATGCTATCTCCGCGTGGAGCCAAACTGATGGCTCCCAACGGCGCCGCTAACGGCTCTGCAGAAGTTAGGCCAGTTGGAAAGCCTCCCCTGTGTGGGTATCACAAAGGTACGTGCTTAAATGTTCTTCAAAGCCCGCCCTTTGCTCCGTATTGATTCCGAGCAGAGATCGTGCGATACCAGCGCCTGCTGCAATTACTGCAGTTCAGTGCGTGGCCAAGCTGGTGCGCTGCTATTGTCGTCCTGCACGTTCCTCCGCCTTTGTATGCTGCCCGGCGTTTCGTCCGGCAATGCGTCCTGTCCGCCTGCCGGCCCACCGCCTGGCCCGCCTGGCCACGTGACGTGCCGGCCGGGCCTGGGTGCCCCGTGGGCGCGCCGTTGGGTGTCGCGATCCATCACGTGACAGGCAGGACGGGCCGGCCGGCCTCCGTCCCCGCCGCTGCATGTGTGTGTGTGTGTGTGTCTGTGTGTGTGGGGCGCTGGACAGCACCTTTGTCACGGGGCAATCTATTCAATGCAAACGTGCAAACCGTGTATGATTCATATCGCATGCTGCACGGCGTACCCGGCGTCGGGTCGCCGCTGGAGTCGGCGCGCCGCCGCTGTCGTAACCGCGTCGTAACGGCCGGACCGTGACGCGGTGTGACGTGACGTGACGCGACACCGGCTCGGCCGTGACTCACGGCCAACGTCTCGCGTCAAAAAACACGGCTTTGACGCGCTCAAAATGGCGCTGTCAAAATGGCTGCTTGAAATGACTTCTTCGGGTCCTTTCGAAAATGCGTGCATGGAATTGGCTTCAAGAGCGACGTCCTGCAAACGGCCGTATCAAAATGAACGTCAAGTGACGGTCTCAAAGGGGCTCTCTCATAATGAAATGCGGGTAAACGTAGTAACAAGACCGGGCTGAGGATAAAGAAAAGCAAACGTGATAACGAGCTTGAAGTAGCGCTCGTTAAGCATGGCCACCGGCCGCAGCGCCGTCGGCTGAGCTGTTTCGGGGGAAGGTGCTGAGGATTGACGGTTTGGTGAGACTTCGGCACGGAAGTGAGCTTATGCTGAGCTAAACCTTGTGAGTTGGCAACCGCATGACACACGCGATGACGCACGGCCGCTCCGACTGCTTTGGCATGTTGGCGTGGTCGGCTCCCGCTCGCCGCACGTGTTCACACCGGCGCCGGGCGAACCCCCACACTCACGTGTGAGTGTCGGGAGTGACCTGCAGGTCGAACTGCGCGCCGGCCACCGACGGCGCCGTGACAGATCAGGAGAGACTGGCTGCCGAATGAAACGCATCGTTACGTGGAACTCTTCGTGGCGTGCTGGTTCCGGACACAGCCCGTCACGCGACCGCGTCACGGGTCATGGGCTATGCATGCATCACGAATTTGTTGAATTTGCATCGCTCCGGTCGCGATGTCCAGCTATGGCGTCGTCCTGCGCCCGATCAGCGCCCGACACCGAGCCGCGCGCCTCGAGCGACCTCACCGCACACCAGCGCGGAGTGGAGCGCGTGTCTGACGGGGGCCTCCGCCGGGCGGCTCTGCACTCGTTCAGCGCTTCGCTGGTGCCGCCGAACGGCGTGGCGGCGGGCCGCGTCGCGGCGCTCCAGCCGGCCCGGCGGTTTTTGTCGGCCTTCGTCCGGCCGTGACGGGCTCAGCGGCCTCGTGCATCAGCGGCGCCGGCTGCGGCGGCACGCTCTGACCCAGTGGCGGCGGCGGCGGCGGCGCCGGCCGTGAGCTCAGCCCGTATTTACCGGTGCTGCGAGGGCGCAGCACGATCGCAGCGACGTGACCTTGTTGCAGGGACGCGTGCGTCCGCCGCCGCTGCATCGGCGGTGTGTGCTGGAGATGCGGCGACACGTCAGCCGTGCGTGCCGCGGCCGGCGTGGCGTGCGCGCGGACGGGGGTCCGCGCTGCGCGTGACCCGCCGCTGTCGTGCGCTCCGGTCATGCGGTCCTGGGTTGATATTGACCTATGCGTGTGCGCGTGTGTGTGCGTGGCCTCCTTTTTCGGAGCGTGATAGCCGCTTGTCGCTGCTGTGCAGATGCGCTCATTACTTCCCATGACATGTGAGGCCTACCAGGGTCACCTCGAAATGTGACCCGGACACGATGTTTCCATGACAGGCGACGCTGCCCCCGTGTATCGGTCTAACGACTGACGTGCGGCCATCGCTCCGCCGGCGCAATGGCCGCTCCCTCGTCGCCCCCGCCACCTGCAGCCCCAGCATCGCCGCCTCCCTCACCGGACACCGTCCGTTCCAGGTGCACGATCCGCTCCGAGTGTCAGAAGGCGCAGCAGAGCTCTCCGCGCTGGCTGACGTTCGGCGCCGGCCAGCAGTGCATCGACTTCGAGCAGGTGCTGCCCGACCGCATCCCCGTCGACCAGACCGTCACGGTACGTCGTCTGCCGCGGCCGGCCACGGTCCCGCGGACTGTCGGCGGCGCCTGCCGCGAGATCTGTCCGCGTCACCTGACGCCGGGTCCTGATGGACGCCGGGTCCTGGTCACCTGACGCCGGGTCCTGGTCACCTGACGCCGGGTCCTGGTGGACCTGCGTTGGTCGCCGGCGGCGCGTCGGCAGACGACGCCGTCGCCGCGGCACGTTTTTGTTGATCGCCTCTAGTCGTCGCCTCTGGTCGTTCATCCTAGTCGTTCCATAAGGACCGACGACTAAGAGGGCTCTTACCCCGCATCACCACCCCTATTCTGGCACTCCTAAGTACACGCGCTGAAAGCTCGTCGGGGCTTCGCTCGGCGAGCTCGAAGCGCCATCTGGTGGGCCGTGTCACTGGAGAGCAGAGACGCGTCGGGCGTCGCGGAGGTCATGCCTGGTGGCCGGCACGGACGCCAGGAGAGGGTCACCGGACGGGGAGCCGGCTGACCGCCGCTCTGGAGGCCACGCGCCCAGGTGCGAAGCGAGCCAGCATTTAAAGGCGTCGTTTGGGAAAAATTGGCGCAGTCGAGTGCAAAGTCCAAACGCCGGCCTCGACGGCAGTTTTCTGGCCACGGTCTTTGTTTCGTTTTGGGTGATCGCTGAACTGGAGGTGCCGGCGATGAAAGCTCTCCATACGCGATCCCTGTGACCGTCTGTGACCTCTCCATTTTAGTTTGATTTTCGCCACCATGGCGCCCGGTCCCCAGGGTTTATTCGGAGTAATTAATTGTCCCTTGTCGGCAATGTCCGGACGACGCCCCCGCCCAGTGTCAAATTTCGGGAGGGGAGAAACGAAGCACCCATGTGCGCGCTTCCGACACGTGTTGGGTGTTACTCGACTAAATGACGCACGAGCATGCGCCCGTGGAAATCGGAACGACGAGCAGTGCTATAATAACAAATTAGCAAGCATCGGAGAGCATCAGACTGACTGGCGGGAGACATGCACACCAATCATTCAGCACGAGCTCATGTTTGCCAGTTGTGAAACTGGGGATCGAAAAAAATGTGGCAAGGTATAAAAACTGTAATTGATGGAACTAAACGAGTTTACTTTGTCGAAATCCTTTCCAGTCTCAATCAGTAGGAAGTCTGCTCTTTGGTGTTGCATCACCCACATTAGTGAAATTTTCAGTTACAGTGGTCATTGCAGCGACAAAGCTACCAGTTTGGGTACAACTTTTGGCGTTTTGGGACGACGAGCACTTTTCAGTATTGCATGCATTTGTACGGATTGTAAAAACCAGTTATACGCGGCGGTGTAAATACCATGGTGATGAACATTTGTGATCTTTGTGTGATTCCTATCCACCGAATACCTCCTCCAGTATTTGCTGCTGTTTTAGTGTTCTCTCTTCAGATTCGTAGCCTCGTCCGTGACGTCCGCCGCAGAAGTGCTGCGGTGAGCCCCCTAAAAGCCCCAGGCGACCGCATGCCGGGGGGGGGGGAGAGAGAGAGAGCGGGGGGAGGGGATCTCGCGAGCGCCAGTGTCGGCGGTGCGGATATTGTCTCGCGTCGGGATCGTCTGCCGCGGCGACAAGCGGCGCGCCCGCACGCATCCATTAAACATGACCGGGGGAGGAGGGCGCCGCCGCCTCACGCCGCCGTCTGACGCCAAGTGGGGAGTCGAGTGGCGGCCCGAGCGGACGGGGAGGGGGGGGGGGGGGGCGCCGGCTCGTCCGCGCAGCAGAGGGCCGGCGCCAGCGTGCAGACTGATGCGTGGCCACCTGTCTGCCAGCCATGGTGTGTCCGCCTCTCATGCAGTGCAGCATCAGTCTCCCAGACAGTGCCGCACTGTCGGCACCGGACAGAGCTACACCAGCATCTCCCGCAGTGCGACACCGGCCCGTCACGCAGCAGCACACGAACCCGCCACACACCACCGCCGCCGTCCGTCAGGCACCGCCGCGCCGGTCCGCTATCCACCGTCGCACCTCCCGCCGGCGGGCGGCGGGCGGCGGGCGGCGGCGGTGCGTGCGGTGGCGGCGGCCGCCGCGACCGACCCATCGGCCATCAGGCCGGGCCGTCAATGACCCGGCGCCGGCTGATATTGCTTCATTTGTCGTTCCGGCGCGGCCGCTCGATAATGAGCCTAATCACGGAGCCGCCGACACGGCCTCCCCATGAAAAGATATCGGCGCGCCGCGGCGTGTCGGGCCCGGCCGCTTTTGTGCGGCGCCCGGCGTCGAGCGACCGGCTCCTCCCCACCGCTAATGACGAGCTCGTCTCCCCCGCGCCGGCCACTGTGGCTCCCCCGCGCCGGTGTCGTGACTGTGGCTCCCCCGCGCCGGTGTCGTGACTGTGGCTCCCCCGCGCCGGTGTCGTCACTGTGGCTCCCCCGTGCCGGTGTCATCACTGTAGCTCCCCGCGTCGGTGTCGTCACTGTAGCTCCCCCGCGTCGGTGTCGTCACTGTGGCTCCCCGCGCCGGCGTCGTCACTGTTGTTTCCCCGCGCCGATGTCGTCACTGTGGCTCCCCGCGCCGGCGCCGCCACTGTGGCTCCCGCGCCGGCGTCGTCACTGACTCCCCTGCGCCGGTGTCGTCACTGTGGCTCCCCAGCTCCGGCCGGCATGGTGGTCACTGCAGGTCCCGCTGTAGATCCCTAAATAGACGCTGTTGACCGGTGACGGCTCCTCATGCTGGTCGGCACCATCGCGGTAGACAGACGACGGCCGCTCGCTGCGGTGCGGTCAGCTCATTACACACCGTTACCCTAACGCTGCACTCCCGTACGTGCGCTGTAACGCTGCTATGGGCCAGAACGCATCGCCGAGTGGAACCAGCTAAGAGCCATCTCAGCCACGGCTCACTCCACCAGTCACGCCCATGGCGAGGGCCTCCGGCGAGCCTGGGCTCCCCGAATTTTCTGCTCGGATTGCCATATCGATGTTTTAGGTCCGACTCTGGCGACGGCCGGCGCGCCGCCGGCCGGCAGTTCCCTGGGAGTTAGTTCACGCTGAGCTGGCACCGCCTGGCGATTTGCGGCCTCCGGTACGGTTCGTTAGTCAACTACACTGTACAAACTTGCAACCTCTGCAACTGCTAAACGCATTATGTCTGCGAATGCGGCGCAATCAGCGCCATTATTCGCCTCGGGGGCTCCGAATCGGCGGCGGCGGGGCGCGTGGGCGCCGCGAGGGGAGCGGGCCTTCCGGCGGGGAGCGCGCTCAATGGGGCGGCGAGCGCGACAGCCATCATCGACCTCCGCGCCCGGCGCAGCCGAAATAATTGCCGCAATCGGCGCCCCCCCCCCCCCCTCCCCATCCCCCTCCCTCCGGAGACCGCTGTCTAGCCGGGAGAACGGGCTGCGCCACCGCGGGGACCGCCGAGCGAGATCGTCGCGCTTTGCCCCCCTTCTCAGGGCCGAAGCGGGAAGCGAAGCTAGGGTGCGGCGCAGGGTGATGCTGTATGGGCTGGACGCGCAGCCGATGTTCGCAGTCGACGGGCATTGGGCGGTTTGGCGCCGTTTAGTGTCTTCGGAAGCGGGCACTGGACCGTCTCTGATGGGACCCGAGTTCGAGGCTGATGGGCGCTTGGTATGGTTTGATGCGCACCTAAAATGTCCGTCGTTGTTTCGATCCGGAGTCACCTCTACGGATCCGTGCCTCGTCGCGAGCTCGAGCGTCTGGTGCGTCGCGTGGCGTGTGGCCGCAGCCAGCGACGCATCTGGCGACCTGGTCTCGACGACACCGCGCACTCACTCTGGCGACCGTTAGACGAACGACGCCGTAACTCACTCCAAAAATGACGTTACGTCCATGCAAGATTGCACGCAATTGGTGGCACGTTCGCGCAATATTTTCCCCTAATGTAAACGCCAGTTTGCATGCAAGTGTGTGTCTTAACGTCTCCACAAAGCTGTGGATGTCAGTACTTGTGTCAGTCGCGAAATTGCGGCCGATGGCGCCCATGAAGCACCAGTCACCTGCAGCCTTTGGTTTATTTCGTTTTGTAGCCATAAAATGTCCTTGTGAAGCTTGTAAGGCTTAGAAAAAACATCGCTCGAGTCAGCAACGACCTGTCAGCTAACATATGACATACAAGCCTTGTAGGGGAACACACTTCATATACAACCGGCGCACACACCCAGTCACGTGCTTCAGCTACAGCTACCGACCGGCTCGCACGCCCAGTCACGTACTTCAGCCATGGCTACCGAAGTGATCACTCACAAATAACCGGTCGCCGTGGCCGGCGGCCTCCCGCACGCCGCGGCCCGCGCCCGTGCCTGTTCGCAGCTCGCTGCGCCGAGCGCATAAAAAACCGGGCTGTGTGACGCGTCATGCCAACAGGCGCGTCACACCATCCGCTGCCCATTCCGGGCCGGAGCGACGCGGCGCGGTGCGCCGCCTGCCGCGCCGCCTGCCGCGCGGTGCGTATACGGTCAGGCGCAGGCGTCAGGCACGCGCCGCGAGGATCGGCGCAGGCAGGCGCCGGCGGCTCTGCGTTACGGGCCGGCGACACCGGACAACGCCTCCAATCAATACCGCACGTCGGTCACAAATTACCGGCCGGCGTCGGCGGTGCGAGCGGACGACCCCGGTGCCGGGGGCGCTGCCCCCCTCCCCCTCCCAGCCGTCAGGGACGGGGTGACACCCGGCGCTGGGGTCGAGAAGTAAAGGCTGCCTAGGCCGTGGTGGGGTGCAGCGCGGTGTTTACGGCGAGCGGGCTGTTGTCAAGGAAAACGGGTGCGGATTTACTGCCGCTCCGGTTTTTGTGATTTACGAGTTTAAAAATGCGAATTTTTGTGATATTGACGTATTAATACTCCCCAAGCCGGGTCTTAAGGCATTGAACTGTTCGCGTGATTGATTTACAACTGATATATTGCTTTCTTCGCTACTCTTTTAAACTATCTTTCCTCGCTCACGAGAAGTATTAGTTTGATGCAACTTCTCGTTTCATTTCTCACGATTTCCATTTTTCCTCAGCCTGCCAGCGCGCCCCTCACTCGCTCTTTTTATAAACCACTTTCTTCCGCATTCTTGCGTTTCTGCGTCTGGTTCCGGCGCTCCACACAAAGCTCGTGCCTCTCAGCGCCGGGCTCCCAGGCGCTATCGTTTGTCCACGTCTCCTATGATTTGTTGTGCCAGAACGCTGGATGCCGCCCCGTCACCGACTCCGAATTCGCCCTCGCCCCCACCCCCGCCCCCCTCCTCACTCCGGCCGTAACGCGGTCGTAAGCGAGCTCTCCCGCTGCAAACCCGGCAGCGGCGCTTCGTCGAATCGGCCGACAGCCGACCATCTGTTTGACAAATTCACATTAGATCGCGCGAGCCGAACTCAATTACGGGCGCTTATTGCCTGAATGCCGGGCCACTTTCAATACAAGCCGGGCCAAGTTTATCTGGGCGCGAATAAAGGCGGAGCGTTTTCCAATCCGCCGGCGCGGTGTGCGCCGGACGTCCTGCGACGCGCCGGCGGCCCGGCAGGCCGGCGAGCAGGACACGCGAGGTCTGGGGTTCAGGTCACGTGGGGTTTGGGGGTCAGGCCACGCGAGGTCTGGGGGTCAGATCACGTGAGGTCTGGGGTCAGGTCACCTGAGGTCTGCCGGCCCGCGGTCCGGGAGCTGAGCCTGACTCCCGGTCCGAACCGGACCAGACCAGACCAGACCAGACCAGACCAGACTGAAACACTGAAACGGCGACCGGGAGAGCCGCGACCAGGAACTGAAACACCGAGACTGGGGTTGGAGAGCCGCGCCGGGGGACCCACGCGCTTTCCGTCTACGCCCCGGAAGTACCTGACCCGTACCCCGTACAAAGGGACGCGGGCTCATCGGCATCTTTCCCAGAATTCCTTGACACAGGAGATCAAAGTACAGGCGAGTAGGTCTCAGCATAGCTGCGCCTCGAAGGGCTATGCGTACCGGTCCCGTTTCCCGGAAGAGCTACACGTACCGGTCCCGTTTCCCGGAGGAGCTACACGTACCGGTCCGGTTTCCCGGAAGTGCACGCTTGGAGTTTTAGACGCAGTGGAACTACGCTAGGACAGTGTGCGATTCTCGAGCAATTTCCTCCATGCGCATTCGAGGAAATAGGGGCGTGCGACTGCTCGGAGGGCGGTGCGGCATGACAGCCAATTCCCGGAAATTGTCTTCTGCCCTCCACATTGCGCCTGTCACCCTCGCGGCAATCTGGTGCGACGCTGCCTCCGGAAGGGGAGTAAATGAACAAATCATGGAACACATGCAGAGCAGTGTGTGACATGGAACGCATACAAGCTAGGCTAGCTCACCTACGTGTGTCATGTCCGTATCAAGTATTGACTATTTCAATACACAGTACTTCAGCCAATCATTTATGTTGTGAGGTCAGTTGCCCGTGTTCGTGTCACAAGGTTGTATATCAAAATAAGTAGCGTTTTACCTATGCTTTTTTAGTATTGAAATACGCTACACCGAAGAGCGCAACGGCAGTATAAAGTCACATGGCTTAAAGAAATGGAAAGAATTCGCATATTGCTCAGCACCAGTGGCGTGCATTCGGCTCGACAGATTCTTATCATTGGCCTATCGCCACTTCCCTGAGATTTGTTGTCAGATTGCTTTTCTCGCGAATTTTCTGTCCTATTGGTGTTCGTCATTTGCTGGAGCACCCAAACGTAAAAGTATGGGTGACTGGAATGAGATGAAAGCTGAAATGGTGCAAATTTGGAAACAGTTTGGCAATATGTGCTGTGACGAAGGGACACGAAATAAATGCGACGTAAGTTTGCGTGCATATCTGTCTGTAAGTTTGCGTGCGTGCTTCTCATGCTTGTTGGCCAATCAGTTACAAAATTCTTCCCTCCGTCTTTAAGATTGAGCCAGAACAGTGCTTGATGCGTTGGTCATTTTACCAAACCCTAGTCTTCATCGTTCCAATGTTTTCATCGGAGCTGTCAAATACCGCGCCTGCGATAAACGAGCAAGAGTCGCATAATCGCCAGGTGACCTTCAAGGCCCGTAGCGATTCGGTCGCATCACCTCTCTAGATTACGAGGCGAGATAAATTCCCGCCGTTAACTGCTGGCCCGATTTATGAGGGCATTTCGGGTTTCATTTAACCCATCAGCTCGGTTGGCGTGACGCCCTGCAATGTATTGTTACGTGAGGAGCATGCAAATGCGGTCGTCGCGTCGAACTGGTCGCTGACTCTGCAGGCTGGTGTTTAAATGCATCTGAGCACGCCGTCTGAAGCGCGGCCCGGTGACAAACGGCGATAGGACGCGGACTGCCGCCGGCGCTGCCGTCCGGGCCCTGGACACGGGTATCGCGGGCCGGAGCTGGGCGCCGGTGGCGCTGCTGCCGCCGGCGGCGCTGCCGTCCGGGCGCTGGACACGGGGCATCGCTGGCCGGAGCTGGGCGCCGGTGGCGCCGCTGCCGCTGGTGGTGCTGGCGCTGGTGCTGTGGCGCCGGCCCTTGTGCTGGTGCTGCCGCTGGTGTGGGCGGTGTTGGCGCAGCTCCGGCTAGTTTCGGTGCTGCGGTCGCTTTTCACCGCTTTCCGAAAAGGCATCGGGCAGGCGATATACCCTCATTATGCTCCTAGCTGTCGGCCGGGATGTTGGAAATTTGCCATCCCAGGAAGAGATTGCACAGCTAACGGGTGGCGGGATTTCAGGTTAGCGTCCAAACTGTGCCATTCGCCCTATCAACGGCGTCCAGCGGGCAACTGCCTGGATTTATTTGAACTAAAACCTGAAACATTATAGCTTATACGGTGATTGTCGGAAGGAAATGCCCTAACGTTCCCCATATTATTACGTTATATCAATGCGATTTTGCGTGTGTTACCGGCATTTAAAAACGCCTCATTATCTCCAGCTTGTCGTTTATATCTATGTGCTGCAAACTTCCATCACGCATAGATGGCTCGCCCCCAGTAGCATCCTTCTCTCACGCGCTCGCTCGTCACCGACTTCGCGGAAAGCGAGCATTACTCTGGAGACGCCGAATGGGAACATCGCCTTCATTCTGTCCACGCTCCCCTCCACGGGTCTTTCAGTTTCTCCGTTTTTGTACTTGCATCTGCTGATTCCTCATTCACCCAGCGGTCCTCTCCCTCGCCCTCCGTCCCGCCGCCAACCATTCATCTCGATTTCTGCTCTGCACTCCTGCTATTTTCCTTTCTTTTGTCGTCGACCGGCGACCGTGCTCTGTCCGGCTACTCGTGCCCCTCTGCCCACTCTTCCCTCCTCACTCACTCTTTGTTTGGCTCGGGCGGGTCGCGCCACGGCCCTCGGCGCGGCGCTTTGCTCTCGCCGCTGCAAAAACAGCCGCTTCTCGTCAGAACCGCGCGCCGCACGCTCCAGCCGGCACCTCCGCGACAGCCCGTGCACCGGCGGTTACGTCACCCCGCCGGCGTTGCCACCCGACCCCGAGTCCGCATCCGCGTCGGCGCCGACGCCGGCGGCTGGCTCTCCAGCCGCGTCAGCCGCGTCAGCCGCGCCAGCCGCGCCAGCCGCCCGCGGGTCCGGAGGGAGCGGGAGGTCGCCATCGGCGCTGACCGACGCCGCTCTCCAGCCGCGCCAGCCGCGCCAGCCGCCCGCGGGTCCGGGGGGAGCGGGAGGTCACCATCGGCGCTGACCGACGCCGCTCTCCAGCCGCGCCAGCCGCGCCAGCCGCCCGCGGGTCCGGGGGGAGCGGGAGGTCACCATCGGCGCTGACCGACGCCGCTCTCCAGCCGCGCCAGCCGCGTCAGCCGCGTCAGCCGCGCCAGCCGCGCCAGCCGCCCGCGGGTCCGGGGGGAGCGGGAGGTCGCCATCGGCGCTGACCGACGCCGCTCTCCAGCCGCGCCAGCCGCGCCAGCCGCGTCAGCCGCCCGCGGGTCCGGAGGGAGCGGGAGGTCGCCATCGGCGCTGACCGACGCCGCTCTCCAGCCGCGCCAGCCGCGCCAGCCGCCCGCGGGTCCGGAGGGAGCGGGAGGTCGCCATCGGCGCTGACCGACGCCGCTCTCCAGCCGCGTCAGCCGCGCCAGCCGCCCGCGGGCCCGGAGGGAGCGGGAGGTCGCCATCGGCGCTGACCGACGCCGCTCTCCAGCCGCGTCAGCCGCCCGCGGGCCCGGGGGGAGCGGGAGGTCGCCATCGGCGCTGACCGACGTCGTCTCGTGCCGCCAGGTTCAGCTGACGATCCGCACGCTGCCGGCGCTGCCGCCGGGCGCCAAGTACCAGTGCGTGTTCGGCGAGACGGCGCCCTCGGACGCGCTGGTCACCGCCTCGGGGCTGTCGTGCCGAACGCCGCCGCCGGCGCTGCGGCCGGCCGTGCCCGCCGGCGCCGACCACGTGGCCGTGCCGCTCTCGGTGCGCTCCTCCGAGACCAACAAGGACTTCGTGTCGCGCCAGTTCTCCTACTACGACTGCTCTCGGCACGCCACGTGCGCCGCCTGCGCCAGCTCGGCCTGGGCGTGCAACTGGTGCGTGTACGACAATGTGTGCACGCACAACGCCACCGTCTGCCGCCGCACCGTCGTCTCCGGGGAGCACGTGAGTAGCCTCTGCTATCTCCACCGTGTGTTGTGCCCAGTGGAACCTGGACTCGCTGGAATTTCACATACTTTGTATTTTGCCGGGCAAAGTTGCGCTAACATTGCATTGCGTGTTCATGTTGATACTTACTCCTCCCTGTGCATCTCTCCCGTTATTCCCTGCTCCCCAGTGCACCCCCCCCCCCCCGCCCCCTCCCCCGCCTGATCGCGTGCGGCGGCCGGCGCCGCCTCCCATCGGTCGGCCTCGCCGGCCGTGCGTCGGACACGTCTCATTTGCCGGCGGCCGCCCAGCACCGCCTGTTTACCCGATCCAGTATTGAGTCTGCATGCCGACCGGCGCGGGCGTGATTACAGGGCGTGTCGGATGGGCTCGGCCCGCCGCCGCCGCCGCCGGCACTTGCACGGGGCGGTTTCAATTTGGCCGACGCGTCGCGCCCCTTCATGTTGGTGTCAGACGCCGTGTCCGCCGCTGTTGACCGAGATGGGCCGCCGCCTGTCACGGCGTTGGCACGCGCTCTCCGGACGTCAGTGGAACGTTTGCTTTCTCGAGGCTTCAACATGAGTCGCTCGCGATTCTGAAAATTAAACTGCTCAAGAGGCGAGCATATGTGACAACGAGCCCGCGACTTGGACGTGGAAACTATGCTGGTTCTTTGGGGGGGGGGGGGGGGGTACCCGGGTGAAGCGAAACCTGTTCGAAAACCGCGCCTTTTGGTCAGATTTTGGACACTTAAGTGATGAGGATTTCCAAAGCTTGTTCTCCTTGCGACGTTGAGTCTGTTTCTTTTTCACTCCTAGCGGCAAAAAAGGCTGCAGGCCCAAATAAGTTACTATCCCTTACGCCTGAAGCTTGGTGGAGGGGCGCACCGTTCCCCGGCCACCCGCTTCCCGCCTCAGTAGTCTGCTGATAGGGTTTGGATATGAACAATGGGCTGGCCAGTTCTAAACGTTTAGTTTGATGTTTGGTAAACCTCCGGCAAGCCGCCAGTGCCAAAACACTATCCTCGTTGCATTTTTTTCATCGGCAAGTTTCAGTCTTAAAATTGTTTGCTGGAAAATATGTCTAAAAACCTGTCGAGCGATACCACAAGAGAAAGCACTCAGCAACTGAATTTCTAGAGCCTAAACACCTCTTAGTTCTCAAGCTGCGTAGAAGTGCGAAACGCTTATCTCCCCTTCAGTTCCGTGCTCTCAAGGCTGGGTTTAACACAGCAGAGTCCCCATAGCATCTCGTGAACCGATTCATTAACATCTGCAGGGCTCTCTCTAATCTCCCCGGGATCCCTATCTGCGCCCAGCTGATGGATCTCGCCCGCCCCTGTGTCCTCCCCTCGGGTGGATCGGGAGCACGGAATGCACCATTCGTCCTGGTCCGTCGGAAAACACTACCCTTCGCGATTAATCATCGCCGCGGGCGAAAATGGTCATTAGGGTGAATACAGTGTCGTTCTGGCACCCGCAGCTCCCGCCCTTCTGTATTTCTCTGTTTGTTTCGCCCTGGGTGTTGGCACCCCTGGCACTGCTATGCATTTGCATGAGGGTGTGAGGGAAACCTACACTTCCCCGGATTCTCCATTTTTATTCCACGCGTTCCCCCCTCTTTCTCTCCCTCTTCGTCACCTCCCCGTCTTCTCCCAGGCCACTCGTCCCCCTGCTCTTCTCGCCACTCTGCTTTTCTTGCTCTGTCTTGTCATCTCCCACCTCTTCCCAATCATCTTCCCGTGCTGCTGCGGTGAGTGTTCGCCCGTTTCCTGCCGTCCGACCGCTGCCAGGGCCGGCAGCCGTTTTTCCGGCGCCGGCGCCGGCGCCGGCCGACGGGGCGCCGGGCCGAGCTCACCGCTCTGATAAATTGCCGCTGGATTAAGATGGTCTGATTGGCTGGGGCTGGGCCGTCGGGCCCGACGCGGCTGCAAGTGTCGATCACCGCTGACAGTCGGCCGGCGCCCCTCGCCGTGCAGACGGCGCCGGCCGCCGCCCGGCGCCGCCGAGAGGGGCGCGACGTGACCCGCCTGGCGGCGAGGAGAAAGCTGGCCGGCGCGCCGCCCCTCGAATTCCCCATTCTGAAGAGCCCTGTTCATTTGCATCGTGCGCTTCGGCGCGGCCGCGAATTGGCTGTGAAGTGGAGTTGAATATTTTCGGCGTATTTTCCACCCGTTTGTCGGGCAAGTTTCGCGGAACATTTGTCACCAAATTGGCGAATTATCACGCTCCAAAGAGGACTGCATTTCGCCAGGCGTCGCCGTCTGCTCTGCCCGGCCCTCCCCATGAAAACTTAACGAAGACAGAGTGGCGGGGGAAGATTTACCGACGAATCGCATGCAACCAGAGACGAGGGAACAGCAATGATTTCATTAGCCCCGGCAGATTAATAGAACAGTCCGTATACGTCGCTGGTGCGGCCGACAGTAAAAGTTCGATCGATAAACTGTGGCGAAGTGCGCGCACCAGAAACGATTGACCGCACGATGCTCTGCCGGCGGGGCCACTGTTTGCAAACTGTAAAAGTTCGGATGATTTGTGAAACAGTGACAGAAAGGGTCATGTTTATTGATTGCGCTCATGAACCGCGTAATTTATGTAGATTACTCTGGCGTTTTTGAAACCTGACCCGGCTACACGCGAGCCGTCTAAACGCGCATGAATGCCATCCAAAGCGGACCCAAGCGATAACTCACGGGCATTTTCAACGTACGAACAAACAGCACGCCCAGCCGGAAAACCTTCCGTTCGCGTGACTCTCTCTGTTTGGGCGGACACATCGAAACGGAGCTGAAAAGCGCTGAAAAATGAACTCTTTCAATCATCGCATTTCCCCAGTGGCAGCAGCGCGAGGGTGCTTCGGCCGGCAGCGCGGTCCGCCGCCTCCCCCCCCCCCCCCATCCCCTCCGTCCCCGCCCCTCCTCGGTCCGTGGTCGGCTGCTGTCCCGGCGGCCGCCCACCGCGGCCGCCCGGGGGTGGCTGCCTGCTGCTCCGGGCGTATAATGGCACCGTGTTTCCGGAGAGGGGAGCGGACTCCCGCCGATGCCGTGCCAGTGGCGCCGGCAGGCCGAACAGCGCCCTGGGCCCGGCCGCCGCTCGCCCGACCGACCGGCTGCTGCGGCGCCGCGGCAGACGGCGTCAGCGTGCCTGACCTCGGCCAGCGGGACGTTACCTGACGCCAGGCGCCTGCGAGCGTCCTCGCCGCCTCCCCGCGGCGACCGTCGGTGGCACGGTTGCCGACGCCACAGACGCGTCGAAGCGGGGTTGCCAGGGCACATCGCGGTATTCATGGGCGCCGGCAGATTTTGCTCCGTTTTGGCGATAAATTCGCTTATCGGTGACACGGCCGCTCGTAAAAAGGCGATTATGGCCAACGAAAGCGGCGACGACGAATGGCCGCGAACCGTTGGGGGTTGGCCCCACCGGGCTGCACGCCGCCGTTTTGCCTCAAACGCGGTCGAGTTTGGGTCAGACTGACAGCGAAGCACCACCTCAGCGAAGCGTTTTCTCACACAAGCGAGACTCTCTCCCACCTGTAGTTTGAAGCCTGCAGAAAAATGCCAGGCGTCATGCGAAATGTCTCCGCCGCCACGCGGGAGAAATGCGCCCGAACTCGATGCTATACTCGCGCCAAATCACGCGTCGGCTGTGCTGCGACGCCTCGCCTCTCGACGGCGCCGCAGCCTGAGGCTCCGCAGCGGCGGCCCGGTTACAGCGCGGCGGGCGTGCAGCGCCGGGCGCCGTCGGGTGGCCGGCGGCTGCTCGCCGTCGAGCTGTCCGGTTAGGGGGCGCCTGCGAGGTGTCCGGCGCCGGCTGGTGTGTCGGCTGTCAGCCGGCCATGTCGCCGCGTGACATGTGACAGCAGGGCCGCGGCGCGGGCGATCCGCGTGAAGACGGCAAACACTCGTCCGTCGGCGCGCCCTTTAAAATCTGTGTTTTGCATTGATCAGCTGTGTCGAAATATCTCGCACGCCCGTGAGCCGTCGGTATTTGTTGCCGCTTCGGGGGCTCAGGGCAGGCATTTTCCTGGTCTCCCCGCTGACAGGTCGAGCCCCGCATCACGTGCCCGTCGCTAACGCAACCCCTGTCTCTGACGAACCCTACACCCTCATCACGTGCCGACCGTACGAACGGACCCACCTCTCAGCAGAACCTCACACGGTCATCACGTGCCGTCCCCGGTAGCTTAACTAACCCCTCTCGGCGGAACGCTACACCACCATCGCCGGCCGTCCCCTCTACGCTCACCCCCGTCGGAAGGACTCTGCACTCTCGTCACGTGCAGTCTCGGCCGACAGACCGTCTCCCGACGTGGCCCCACACCCACACCCGCACCGCGCGCCGCCACCGCTGACCCGGTGCCTCTCTCGGCAGAACCCGTCGCCGCTCGTCACCCACGGCGGCGCGTTCTGCCCGCGCTTCAAGCCGTCGCCGACGCCGATCCTGCTCGCCAACGGCCGCCGCAGCGAGGTGGCGGTGCAGGCAGAGAACCTGCCGCGCCCCGAGCCGGGCGGCGCCGCCGTCTTCCACTGCATCGTCGAAATCGAGGGCGCCAAGATGCGCGTGCCCGCCCGCGTAGAGCGCGGCGAGCGAGTTATCTGCGAGAAGACCTCGTACTCGTACCAGGCGGCCGAGAGTGAGCTGACGGCGCGGCTGACGGTCGTCTGGGACGGCGACCGGCTGGTGGACGCCACCAACGTGACGCTGTACAAGTGCGGCGTGCTCGGCAGCCACCGCGGCCACGCCGACTGCTCGCTCTGCGTGACGCGACCATCGCGCTACGAGTGCGCCTGGTGCGGCGACGCCTGCTCGCACCGCGCCGACTGCGGCCAGGGCGCCGCGCTCGAGTGCCCCAAGCCACGCATCGACCTGGTGAGTGCCGGAGTGCCGGAGTGCCCGTCCCGTTCTGCCACGCAGCTGGTGCTCAGCGCGCCTGGTGTTCGCGCATGTTCTTTGTTCACCACGCAGCGTGACTCTTGCGTGAGCCTCGCCGGTGCCGTTGTTGTTCGACTGGTGGGCCTCAGCCGTGCCAAGTACGGTAAGAGGGGGCAGTTGGCGTTCGTTTAACGTGACAAGCTTTGGCGTGGATGTTTACTGGGTTGTTTGCGCACGGAACTTCCACTGGCGGAAGTAGCCGCGTTTCGCATTATTTTGTCACATCGGAGTGGCCTCAATAGCGTCTAGACCGGCCTCGCCCCTTCCAGCATTGGCGTCTGGTCTATCCGGCTATTTCCATTATATTGACGGGCGGCCTCCCCCGGGGCCACTTGTTTAGTCAATAGACGTCAAGCCCGATGTGTTTGTCCTGAAAACGAGCCCGGCCGACGTCTCCGCGCCGTTTGAAGTGTGAACGGCCGCATCGGGTCAGATCGAATCGTGGGCGCGGTTAGCGCATGTCAGCTCGCGATCACGCGCGGTATGTGACAATGAGCGCCTTTTTCCGCAGAACCCATGCCGGTTTTTGTATCAACATGCCCTTGCTCGTACCAGCCTTTGTCGGTGATCGATCGATAGCAGCGTTTCCATCGGACAGCTGTCGTCGGCGCGACATCGCGCTGTCGTACCGTGACGTCTGCGCGCCCGCCATCGCGGTCCTCCCTCCCTTTGTGACCTTGCCTGTCTGTCTTTGACCTTGTGACCCAACCGCGCTGATCCGGTGCGTATCTCCCCAGGTATGGCCGCAGCGCGGATCGGCGGAGGCCGCGCGTGCTTCTGTGACCTCGCTCGTGCGTCAGCGACCCGTGACCCGACCCTTCTGACCCGACTCTGTCCTTGGCAGATCTACCCGCTGAGCGGGCCGGTGGAGGGCGGCACGCTGCTCACCATTGAGGGCTCGAACCTGGGGCGGCGCGCGGCGGACGTGCGCGACCGCATCCTCGTCGGCGACGTGCCGTGCGCGCTGGTCGAGTACCAGGTGTCCGTGCGCATCGTGTGCCGCACGGGCGCCACCGCGCACCCCATGAACGTGGCCGTCGCCGTCGGCAACCACGCCGGCTTCGCCGAGTCGGCCGTCAAGTACAGCTACCACGACATCCAGCTGTTCGACGTGCACCCGCGCACGGGGCCGGAGAGCGGCGGCACTCGCCTCACGCTCTCCGGCGGTCACCTGACGGTGGGTTCGCGCGTGCGCGTCTGGCTGGACCACCTGCCGTGCGCGGTGACGCAGGGCCCCGGCCAGCTGAGCTGCGTGACGGCGCCGTCGGACGGCACGCGCTCCGTGCGCACCCTCACGCTGCAGATCGACGCGGCCAACCGTACTCTCGTCGGCAACCCGTTCAACTACACGAGCGACCCGAGCGTGCTGGAGATCAAGCCGCTGCGGTCGCCCGAGTCCGGCGGCCGACTTATCATGGTGCACGGCACCAACCTGGACTCGATCCAGGAGCCGCAGATGACTGTCTTCCTCGACGACCAGCAGAAAGTGCTCAACGCCACGGTGAGCGCGGCGCGTCGGTGATTTATGGCGGCGCGCCGACCGGATTAGAGCACTGCTAATCATCGGATGCGCTCGCTCGGCGTGATTAGCTCCAACCGCCGTACGATTTATATTCATCGCCGAGATGAACGGAGCGCGGCTTAAGAAGCTCCGCTGATGAGCAGTGAGCTGTGTGATGGAGTCTTACGCTGCCATTTGTCTTGTGGTATATCGGGCCCAACATCTGGGAAGTGCGCAGCCCGGCAGCTTTGCAGGCTGCTAGCTAGCGGCCGGCCCTCCCGGCGGTCGGCCTGGCGTGGGATCGTACTCAGATGATCGTCATTGCCTGATCAGAGCAGCACGGTTGTTGTATTTTAAACGAGTCCTCTCCTCGTCGGCTTGCATTATCGCTGTTCGGGGTCGTTCGTCCCCGTCGTCCGATCTGTCGGCCCGCCCCCGACCTGAGCTGACCTGAAGTGACCTCTGGCCGCCAGGTGTGTCGGGTGCTGAGCAGCTCCCAGATGCAGTGTCCGTCGCCGCCGGTGGACCCGCGCGCCGTGCGGGGCGCGGGCTGGCGCCGCGAGATCCGCGGCAAGCCGTCCAAGTACGCCCGCTCGCCGCGGCCGCCGCACGACGACGTGCTCAGCCTCAACATCGGCTTCATCATGGACAGCGTGGCCGGCGTGCGCAACCTGAAGCAGCACAGCGCGCTGATGCGGAGCACGCTGCTGTACGTGCAGGATCCGGTCGTGATGCCCTTCCCCGGTCGCGTGAAGCTGTACAAGGGCGACACGCTGGTGATCGAGGGCCAGAACCTGAACCTGGCTGCCGACGAGTCGGACATGCGGGTGCTGATCGGCACGCACTCGTGCAACGTCACCTCGCTGGCGCTCAGCCAGCTGGTGTGCACGCCGCCGGCGGTGCAGCCGCCGGGCACGGACGACCTGGGCCGGCCGACGCCCGAGCAGGTGCCGCTCGTGGTCGTGCGCGTCGGCGAGAACCTCCGCTTCCCGCTCGGCCTGCTGCGCTACGAGATGATTAAGCCGTACACGTTCCCGCCGGAGGTGGTGGGCGGCATCGCCGTCTCGGGCGTGATCCTGGTGCTGCTGTCGGTGGTGATCCTGGCCGTCTACCGGCGCAAGTCGACCCAGGCCGAGCGAGAGTACAAGCGCATCCAGATCCAGATGGACACGCTCGAGAGCAACGTGCGCATGGAGTGCAAGCAAGGTGCGTCGACTTCGACACGCGCTCACACGAACGCACTCGCGCTGAGATAACTCTCTTTGTTGACTTGGTGTAAGGACGGCAACACTGGAAGTCGACATTTCTTTAATGTTTAAGCTTAGCCCAGGGTAAAGAGCCGAACAGGCGAGGGTTTCGTTTGCCGCTGGCCAATATTTGCTCCTTGATGGCGCCTGCGGTGTCGTTGGGGCTGTTGCTTGGTTGGTCCTCAGGGCGTTATCAGATCAGCTGACGACCTATGGAGCCTCAAGTTTGCCATGTGGGAGGCACCACCGCCGGGGTCTCACTCGGCGTGTTTCGGCAAGCGTGTGCTGCGCTCTGGCTGACGGCATCACGCGTTTCCAGCATTCGCCGAGCTGCAGACGGACATCACGGACCTCACGGCGGACCTCGAGTCGACCGGCATCCCGATCTTCGACCATCGCACGTTCGTGATGAAGGTGTTCTTCCCCGGCGTAACCGACCACCCGATCCTGGCCGATCCGAAGGTGAGCGCTCCCCCGAACGGTGCCGCGCCGGCCGGTGCCACGGATAATCCGTCATAGAGCGTGCTTTGATCGGCACTGCGAGAGTAATGATCACGTGGCCGGTTCTGAATGGCGTGTCGTCTTGTTTGGTGGCCGACTGCGCGCCAGCGTCTCACGAAGCGGCTCTTTTCAGCTGCGCGTGAACGGCACGCGCACCAACTTCGACACGGCCATGGTGCAGTTCGAGCAGCTCATCAACAACCGCTACTTCCTGCTGACGTTCATCGAGGTCCTCGAGTCGCAGAAGTCCTTCAGCATCCGCGACAAGGTGAACGTGGCGTCGCTGCTGATGGTGATCCTGATGTCCAAGATGGAGTACGCGACCGAGATCCTGCGCCTGCTCCTGCTGCGCCTCATCGACAAGTCCATCAGCTCCAAGTACCCGCAGCTGATGCTGCGGCGCACCGAGTCGGTGGTGGAGAAGTTCCTCACCAACTGGATGGCGCTCTGCCTGTACGAGCACCTGCGCAGCGACTCGGCCGCCAGCCTCTTCCTGCTGACGGCCGCCATCAAGCACCAGGTGGAGAAAGGTCCGGTGGACGCGCTCACGCACGACGCGCGCTACTCGCTCTCCGAGGAGCGCCTGCTGCGCGAGCAGATCCCGCACAGCACCGTGGTGAGTAGCGCCCCCTCCCGCGCGGCCGCTGACAACGCTCCTGCGCGACTGGCGGTGCGTTTGTGTGCGGGTTTTCTGTCGGGAAGAAGCCGCCTTCGTCGCCAGCCGAATCAATGCTCGTGTGGACCCGTGTCCCTCCGCTAGTTTGGATGGATTAGGTCTGAATTGGTAATTGCCCTTTGGGAACCGGCCAGCTGCACGTTCCATGCACGTGGCCGTCAGCTAACTGGCGTCGACTCGACTATGCACTCGAAACATTCGTATCCATTTTATATCCCTACATCGAGGTTCGAGGCAGTTGTAGGGATTAGAGATATTGCTTATGAGGTATGTCTGTCGTACGGAGTTTGATAATCTCGACACAGATGGGTCATGAATAACATTGGACCGTTAGTTTTTGGTAGCGTGCCATTTGCCCTATCTTGTTCTGTTGGCAAGTAAAATCGTGAAGATTTGGTTGGATTGTATTAACCGATCTGCCGATCTTTACAGACGATACACTTGGTTCAAGAGGATCCTCATTATGAAAAGATTCCGTACCAGATGTACCAGGTAAAATTGTTGAAAAGCTGGGTAACAGGACGTGATGCATGGCGGAAAGTGTTCGATTCAGGTAGCGAGAAGATAACGTTTGTCAGCAAAACAACAATGAACGGCTGAAAATAGTTGGCAACGTGCTGTCAAGTTTTATGCTTTTTGTCTGAACTTGCCTGGGATTCTACACTCTTTGATAACCTCTTGACCTAACCCCTTTAAATTTTACGAGCTGGTCTATCGTACGGGCTTCCCGTGTTTTAGTTTCGGCGCGTCCGCCGTCACGCTCTCTTCCGATTTACGGCAGCACCAGCCTCCGACGATAGCACGGTCGGTTGACTCTCTGAGACACTCTAGTTAGCCCAAGTGCATGAGGTGTGCTGGGATGACTAGGCGATTTTACTTTCTAAGGTGTCAAAATTTGTCCTGTATTGGGGAATGTTTCCAGCTTTTTAGTGTTGCATCACAGCTGTAACATGTTTTTGGTTTTATGATAGGCTTGCGTTAGTGGTATTACGTTTTTATCTCTTGGCTTATTATGCGACCTAGAGCACCGCCAGCACTGACGAATGCTGCCCTTTCAGACCCTTCAAATCGCTCCTGAGGAGCTGGAGGAGAAAGTTCAGTGTCGCGTGCTGGACTGCGACACCATCAACCAGGTCAAGTCGAAAATCCTGGACGCACTCTACAAAAACACCCCACACACGCTGCGGCCTTCGATTCACGAGGTCGACTTGGGTAAGTCTCAGCCTGGCTACGAAACGGCAGACGCGGCTCGCCCCCATGAATATACTATGTGTGGGCATGTCAATATTTGATGCTCATTAGCACCGAACCGTTTCTTATTCCGCCACCCAGCCGCGGGCGAGAAAGCTGAACTGTCGTTTTCGGTCGCAGAGTGGCGCCACGGGCGCGGCGGCCACCTGACGCTGGCCGATGAAGATCTGACGAGCAAGATGGTGGACGGGTGGCGCCGTCTCAACACACTGGCTCACTACGGCGTCAAGGACTCTGCCGTGATGTCGCTGGTGCCCCGGCAGGCCTCCCAGGTCTCGCCCGCCACCAGGAGTCCCTGTGAGTGCTCCAGGGGTCGCCGGGTCGGCAGCCGCGGGGCCAGACTGAGATGGGGCGAGGGCGAGCGAGAGGCGAGCGATTCACGACAGCCTTTGTTCTGGTTAAGGCGGCTGTGTCGCTCAGCTGTTTTCTGCCGTCTGCGACCTGCGCTTGAGATCAGAGGGTGTCGCCTCGTGCGCATACGCACATGTGCGCGTGATGTTTGTGCAAGCGTTCCCATGAAATGAGGAGTTTCTTCTCATAACGCTACAATTTTGCGGCACAGTCTGATTTGGAAAGAGCTGAAACAAATGAACTACTTACGTAAGAATCTGAGCTGTTAAAACTCGGCATGTGGCGTTTGCTAACGTTACAACATCGCAAACGTCGTTTCAATGCGAGGCTCGCATCGAGCATGCTTGCGGCGTCACCATCCACGCGTCCCCTGGTGCAGCCTGCCGGCCCCCTGTTGACCACCACTCTCCGCCGACAGACTCGAGCGTCTACTCGATCCCGACATCGGTGTCGCCGTCACAGAACGGCACGCTGCGCAAGGTGAACATGTACCACCTGGTGCGGCCGGCCTGTGAGTACGCCAGCCAGCGGAGCGAGCGCTCCCACAAGGCCATCCCCGAGATCTTCCTCACGCGCCTGCTCTCCACCAAGGGCACCATCCAGAAGTTCGTCGACGACCTGCTCACGACGATCCTGGACGCGGGCGAGACGCTGCCGCCGGCCATCAAGTGGCTGTTCGATCTGTTCGACGAGGCGGCGCGGGTCCACGCCGTGCCCAACGGCGAGGAGGTGACCTACGCCTGGAAATCAAACTCGCTGCCGCTGCGCTTCTGGGTCAACTTCATCAAGAACCCCGACTTCCTGTTCGACATCGACAAGTCGGTGACGGTCGACTCGTGCCTGACGGTGATCGCGCAGACCTTCATGGACGCGTGCTCAACGTCCGAGCACCGGCTCGGTAAAGACTCGCCGTCCAACAAGCTGCTGTTCGCCAAGGACCTACCGCACTACCGGTCGCAAGTTGAGCGTTTCTACCGCGACGTCAACGAGCTGCCGACGGTGACGGACCAGGAACTGAACTCGCACATGCAGCGGCTGTCAGTGGCGCACCTCGGCCAGTTCGACGTGATCGCCGCGCTCAAGGAGCTCTACATATACGTGACCAAGTACTTTGACGATGTGATGAAGGCGCTGGAGTCGGACGAGCACTGCCGCCGCCTCCACCTGCCGCACAAACTGGAGAACGTGCAGAGCACCATGGAGGGGGAGGAGACCTCCATGTGCTAGTGGCGCGCGCTGTGAGCGGCGGCGGCGGCGCCGCGCCTTCGTCCAGGGGTCGGGGTCGGGCGCGCGGACCGTTCGAGGCACGGGTGTGATGTCGGGACGCCGGATCGGGCGCTGGCCCGTCGCCTCGTCCCAGTCGTGCACTCTCTCGGAGGTCCGCCGCGCGGTTTCGGTTCTCGTAGTGCCTGGGTGTCGTTGGGGCGTTAGTCACTGAGCGTTAGTCACGGAGTGCTCTCGCGGCGCGCTATTCCAATTGCAGAATCGCCAAAATGAACCGTGTACAGATTTTATAAGCTGTGATATATTTCATTGAGGAAGGGATGGGGCGCGTCCGTGCTGCTCTGTCGCGGTGGAATGCGCCGGCGCTCCGCGGTTGTCTGTCTCGTGTTCTCTTGCCAACTGCAATGCCAAATGCGCCGAGATCGTGGGGGCAGCGTCCAAAGCGTGTTAGTGGCCTATTGTTTGTTGTCCATCCAGCGAAGCTCAGTTCTTTGCGACCCGCACAATGCTCGGGACCGCCTGACCGTCGCAGCTAGCGGGTGGCTCGCCGGCCGACCGCGCTGCCGGCGTCCCTGCTGGTGGCTTCTGTGGTATCTGCTCAGTGTGCGGCACGGAGGCGACCCACGACAGAGTGCGCCGCCGAACCCTGGCGGCGAGCGCCGCAACTAGTCCTTATCGCGTGCGTTCGCGCCGCGCGCCGGTGTACTTAAGTCTAGGCATTTTATATTTTGTAAGCCGTGCAGGATCGATATGTTATACGCTGCAATGTTTTCTTGTATTGTGCATTGATTTTGTACAAAATGATATTTATAAAATGTAAATAAAGTCGAAGCGTAATTCGTGCGCGTTAATGACGACCCAGAGGAACAATTAATTATGGTGATAGGCTCGCATCTAATTAGCCTATGGGCGTTTGGCTACACATGTTGGGTACTAATCGCGATGTCGACACAAAGCCGGTGGGGTCGCCACCCAGAAAATTAAATGTTGGGTCGCTGTTCTTCAGTCACAACAGGTAATCACAACTAAAGGTCGGCAGGTTCTGGCGGAGGATTGGCTTCGATTTTGAATTCATTGGTCAATTGGTGTTAACGTCGTTGATTAAAACCCGTGCCATTTAAATACAGGCAGCCCAGAATCAAGTACGACTGGCTGCACTTCCAAGCATAACTTGGACGCAAACACTTCGTCTCACTGAGCAACATTCGCGGCAGTTCAGCAGCAGCCACTGATCTATCAGCTACCGGACGCTTTAAACCCACCAAAGCCACTGATCCACGGGACTCCTGCTCATCAAGGCCTGGCATCAAGGTATTGCGGCTCCGGCGCAGCAAATTCTGACCTCGTCGGATGTCGCGGATGTGCCGTGCCGCCGGTCTGTGACCTCAGCGCCGTTCTCAGCGTCGGGAGTCCCCTGACGTCGATCTACGGCTTCGCCCCGGCCTGTGTCTCGTAGTCGAAAGCCGCCTGTCGCCAGTCGATCACTCGCCCCTGCCCTCAGCGGTGCCGGCCGGCGGCCTCCGGCTGTGTTAGGTAGCACGTACAGCCGCGACGGGCGAATTTACGGCGACGCGGGACCACCAATCAGGGGGGCGTCCTCGGCTGCTGCGACCGGCGCGGCCCATCCGTTCTGGATTGGCGCAGCTTTGACATTTACCGCGCGGCTACTGGAGCTGGCGCCGCGCTAGTGCGCGCGCCCGCCGCCGGGCGCCAGCACCGTCGCCGACGGACACCACCTGCCGGATTTCCTCAATTCACGCCATTATGACTGCAATCCGGGCCTGATAAGGCGCTCGACCAATTAACTTTTGCCCGCTGGAGTTGACTCCGCCCCTTGCGCCGTGCGTCACGACGTCGCCGCCGCCCATCCGGGGCTCGCAAGTGTAACTGTCACGCCCCACCGAAGAAAATGAGGTGCCAGAGCTGTTTTATTGATGCGTTCAGTTCAGCTGCTTCGCCGAGGCGTGCGAAGCGGCTTTGTTCTTTAACAAGCAGTGGGTACGACGTTTACATGCATGGCGGTAAATTGGCAATTAGTGTGAATTTCGTGCGTGAAGCGTTCCATGCATATTCCACTTGGTCCGCCTTGGAAATACGTCACTAAAATTAGATTGCTGTGTTAACCATCGCGAAGGCTATTTAGCAGCCGAGCTGTTGAAAGATGGTCACAAACTGAGACGAAATGAGTTTCTCATTTCGCATCGGTACGCGTTCTCTCGTGGATGGACGGCCTGGAAGTGAGGCTTCACGACATTTAGAACTTCACAAGTCGAGACCTTTGATCAATGCTGCGATCTGTCTGCTGAAAGAGTCCTCAAATAGCTGAACTTCAGATGCGGCGTTGATCTGGCGTCGCCAGAGCCGATATGTGTATCGCACGGCTGGCCCTGGCGTCGCTGACGTTCCCAAGCTCCAACGGAACTCATGGTGACCGCAGTCCGCACCTGGCCGTCCTTCCGCGCGCTCGCGTGAGCCCGCGCGTGGACACATGCCGACGTAGACAGACACGCATACAACGCACATGCGCACGAGTGTTTGGTAGCGTTATCTTGACTGAGATATGCTGTGCCTGTTCCATCTTGATTGACCATACGAACTATTTAGCCCACTCCTCGTCATGGGTATACGATGAGGCAGGCGGAGGACGACCGATGCTGCTGCGACCGAGGACGGTCGCAGCTGCCCGGCTCGCGGCCATCCAGTCACACGGGACGCGTGGAGGTGGCCGAGGTCTGGTCCGGTCAGGGCGGGACGGCCGTGCGACCAGCCGAACTCACGACAGATACACCACAGCACCGTGGACTCGGTTCCTTACGCAAGCGCAAGTGATACAGGGTCAAAATAATGCGTTGCTGCGCAGAGGCTGTTGTCGCCGCGGGGTTTGTGAACGTCGCAACACCCATTCCTCCCTTACATTATGCACTGTGAGGCCGAGGAGTTCTCACATCACATTCACACCCTGAAACACAAGTCCAAGTCCGAAGTGAAATAACTTTACAAACAAAAGTTCAGTGCCATTATAATGCATGACTTTGCGTACGTAAGGCCACGGCGATGACCTTCAAGCCACTGCGCAACCATATACAAACAAAAGGCGTCCAGAAGAATATTTTTATTACACCACAGAGCACTCCTGAGTGCCGTGATAGTAGTCTATTTAACTGGGCCCATTTGGCCTGCTCATTATGCTCACCTTGGATCCCGCAACGAAGAGGCCAAGGGCAATAAACAATAGATGATTGTCGGCTGCCTGCCGAGCCCAATTGCACATTCCAGATTAGCTCGCTTTTTAGCCTATGGTGCCAATTTAAACTTTATGACTTCCCTTTTATATCGCCCCGATTATAAACGAGGGCTGCGCGCTTGCGTCGTCCAATGGGTGATAATGGTATGAGACAGATGCATGTGATGGGGGTATACCGTACGGCATGCTAAATTGGTCGAGATTGATGTAAATACCATGTTGACATAACGCTTTCGGAGGGCAGCAGCTAAGTATCTTATCATGATGACGGAATAAACGCATTTAGATTCGAACATCTATTGACTCGATCAACTGAAAGCCAGCGTTCTACGTGCATTCTATCGCGCAGTTTGAGGCTCTGGAAGCTTCTTCGAGTGTTCTTCCTGTTTAATGCACATGCCATTATGTTTTGGAACCAATCTACGTCATGCACGTTGCAAAATTACCTATCCTTGTCTCTTATTACCACTCATAGGAGTCTTTTAACGACGTTTAAAAAACTCCGAGAGGAACAAAAGAAAAGTGTGTACAGTTCATTTGACGCCAATAAAGCTATGACCAAACTAAGGTAACCTCTATGATTGAAGAGCGGAGCAGTACGATTATTTCGTACCTGCCTTTTCATTGGAGACTTTATCAGGGTGACTCAAGGTCGCAAAATTAACATCAAATGATGAATGCCTGCTCCCAGTGGCAAATGGTGAGTTTGTTATCGGAAAAATAATGTCTAGGATCAGAGACGGGTGCAATAGGCACGCTCGGGTTGCGGAGATGTCTATATCGCCAGACAACAACGCCTGCGGCCTAGCACCCAGTCTCCCAACAATTTTTCGGAGGCTGATTTTGCAACATCATTTGTTTTTTTATGTCAAAACACGCTTCAGAAGTCATTCAAATCTTTATTAATGTTAGCACAGCTTAAACCAAAAAGTCCTGGTAAAAACGGCCGAACGAGCATGCCACGCACACTACATTTGCCCGTCAGGTTCCAGCTTTCATCCACTTCTAGGCGTGCGTAAGATGACCTTCGCCCCAGAGCCCGGCCTGGTCGCATCTGACCTCTCGCCAGTTTTTAGTGTTTGGGATGTTGTGGAACACCACCGTGCGTAGAGGTGCGTCTGGCGAAGGGCGGCGCAGAGGCGTTACCAGTCCGAGGCGGTCATAGCAGACATGTTGGTCATAAAATCCTCTAAAAAACAAAACGTTACGTTGGTGAGCAGTGGTATGACGCCACATCACTACGTGGCTCTTCAAGCATTATGAAGGTTAACCCGCGAGATACTGGGAGACATGCTCTTCCACTACTGGTTTCCTGGCACAGCGCTGAAACCAATTGTAACGGCGACCTGAAAGCTCTCGGTTTCCTCAACAAGCGCCAAACCTATCTTTTGTCACGTCCTGGCGGACCGGGTCATGCTAGGTTATGCTAAATGGTGTCATTAGTGTTATCGCAACCACCGAAATGTTCAAATTCGGACGCTTGTTGGTCTTCCCGATGATGATCGATCTCCCACGATCCTCTCGTGGCATGGGTTCAGAATCGTTACATGAGGTCGTAACAGGCGAACCTATGTCATGCCAGGTCAACATAGATAATTGTCAACTTTATTAATAATCAGTCGTTTAAGTATGCCCGCAAGGATGTCGTGCCGTATCAAGTTCATGAATGTGGAATCTATGAATGTGGTTTCATGTGCATATCTCCACTGTCACTGTCTTGGCACCCCACATCCCACTCTCCCATCACCGCTTAGGGCGTGTCTTACCTCAGTTACGTAGAAGGCGTATTCCAGGTATATTTTGTCACAAAATATTACCTAACTGTGACGCAAAATTTTAACTTATGTACTGTATGCCACTCCCCACAGTACGTCTTTGAGTGGTCTCCATCCCCGCTCAGTCTTTGGCGCCCTGAGTCATTTTTTAACAGGCACACCACAGAACCCAGGTCTTTAGAATGCCTGGTTTAGATGGTTCAATAAGTTTAGCTTTATTTAAATTCATGAGTTCACCACTCACGCTCTTCAAACCCTCTTTGTGTAAAGAAAAGTTAGGTCAGAGAGCAAGTTTTTGTTTGACATGTAACAGCTAAAATCAGTTTGATATCTTTTGACACATCAGGGGGCGGGGGAATTGGTTCTCTCACGTGGCTTTCGAGAGAAATTCACCGCGTTAAGATATTGTTCAAGACGTGGGGAAAGACATCACCGACATATTCTGGTTGTGGCTTTTCCCAAAAATAACCTGCAAAATTTTTGTTTGTTATAAATTTCCTGACAATAATTAAAGTCTAGTTCAAAGCAGCAGTTTTCCATCCACAAGAAACTGTGAACAACTTAGATATTGTCGCTCATACTTCCCCCTTGCTCTTTGCTAATAACAAGAAATTATTTGAAAGCGGAATGGTGTGCACTTTCGTATGGTGCCTGTTACGAAGCTATAAATCAGTATGCCAGAGATGCTCTACAAACCCAGCTTCGTCCGAGGCCTGAAGTCACTTTCGAGGCACTGGGCGTGACCCACGAGGTCGCGAGCCACATGCTATGTGTTACCTAGATGACTCCTGGATTTGGTAGAGATTGGC